TAGTATTATTATTATCTAAACTTTCTAAAAAAATAGAATTTTATTTTTCTCATTTAAACTTTCTAAAAAGGTAAAGTTTGCGAGGTAGAAAAAAACGATCGGACAATCATTTTTTATTTCCTTTTTTTAAACGAGCCTGAACGTTTTGTCACCTACTTAAGGAGAAATCATTTATGAGGTGATCCAGTACCTGAAGAGTCAATTGGCATAGAAATATGAGCTTGTCGCTCTCGAACAGTCCTCTGCTGGTGTACGTAAAAACCAAGTACGTGACGCTGTCGATTAAACTGGCGACGCGTTTACTGAGGCTGTCCGCCGGCTCGGCAAATTTAATGGCATTCTGGAAGACCGTACTGAACGCCTTGAGAGAAAACTGGTACAGCATGTTGATCTTGTTGAGATCGTTAAGGATGAAGTAGAGGAGGCTGGCTCGGGACGCCACCGGCCGGTAGGACTCTCGCGCCTCGTCGATCTTCGCGGCGGTCACCTTCGCCTCGATCGCCTTCGTCTCGATCTCGCCGGCGGTCTTCTTTGTAGTTTCGAGATTCTCCACGAGAGCAACGTCGCTCAAGATGTCGGGACCGGCTGACGACAATCTTTAATGCAATAAAAATTGATATAAACGTTTGACCAAAAATTAACCTTTTTTTTCTTTCATTTTTGGTTCACGTCAGACTCATAAAACAGACAAAATAAATAAATAAATTTGTTCGTCAATTTAAATCGGGATGCAATAATTAAAATAAATAATTAAAAGCTTCATACGTTTGCGTGCGGGATGCAGAGATTGACATGAGAGATCGTTAGTGGCTTTTGATCGAGATAACCGTTTGTGCTCGTAAAAAGAAAATAAACAAGTAGCTCGCTTTTTGATTTATTATTCCAGAAAGCAATTAATTTTTTATTTTAATTATTCGTTAATTATTCACTTGTGCATAAATGAAGTATACTTTTTTCTGCGATGGTGATTCGAATAACGTTGCATAAAGACGTAATATCCACACAATTAACTTGACAAACTCAGCAATTAAAGGCAAGATTGTGCAACAAATGACTAACGTACCTGTGCAACAAATCGTCTTCCAATGCTTTCAGTGTGATCTTGAACGTGTTCTGTTGGATTGTGAGTTCGGCTTTGCTCGCCTCCAAGTCCGGACGCTCCGCTTTCACAACAGCACCTAATAGCTGTTCTTCTAAACCGTCTTTCGTAACCGTAAAATTGATGAGCGTGGTCTGGGCTTGCATCTCCGGCTTGTAGTGAGGATTCGCCAGTTTCGTTTGTAGGATCAGACGGAAGCGCGGGTCGTAATCCACCTCTTTGTCGCCCACCTTGATGGCCCTTCGTTAACGTCAATTTTGCGGGGTCAATTTCGCCGGATAATCCAATTTAATATAAAGAAAAAAAAAAAAGAGAATACTCTCGTACCTTCCTCTCTTTATTAAAACCCGGCCCAAGATCGGATCGAGAACGGCGTCGACCGTCTCCATGATACTTTCCAATAGCACCACCTCACCATTGGCGATGGCATACTCGATTCTGTCGAGATAATCCTTCTGCGCCAAGCGTAGCACTGTCAAGTCATCTCCGTATTTGTTCTTGATCCACTTGATCCCTTGCAATTGCGGATCGATTATCAATGGCCATCTGGATGAATTCGTCAGTATCGTGGCGTTTTCCGATGACATTCTGTCCGCGGGTAAACCTACGGAAGAGATATTACACTTCGAAAACTATGCAAAGAATTTGTTCTACATTTTTTATTTGCTTTTTCATAAGAAATTTTTGCCTCGTTGAGAGATTACGATCTGTAATTTATTCGACATTTTATATTAGTATGGATATTGTGTTGCGACGCGTCTTACCCTCATTATTCCATTGAGCGATTTTTGCGTCGTCCGTCATTAAAGACAATAGATCCAAGTCCGGCGTGTGCGGTATCGGTGTTTGCAAGGTGTCAAGAAATGGTAACCAATATAAATTCATGAGATCTGTTCGATACTTCCTTGTGAAACATCCCATATAAGAAATAAACGCCGTGATGAGTAACACGTTGCCCGGAAGAGTAATTTCGGATTCTTTTAACCTGTTTTGCCGCATTATAAATATATTTAAAAATTTGTCCAATATATTATCTTGATATAAACGCAGAAGAAATTAAATGAACAAAATTGCGTTCAAATGAATATCAATGTAATTTCAATTTAATAAATTACTGAATCAAATCTTTCGCTTATCTAAATAATGTTTTGTGTAATTATAGCGATTAAATAAGTGATGCAGAAATTTACATACACTTGCACGGTCTCAGCCCAGCGAACATTTTCGGACGCTAGACCGTTTACCAATCGATTTGCCAGGTCTATCTTGAACGCGGTCGCTTCCGCTTCGTCCTGGCACTTTTGTTTCGCGGCTAAAGCCACGCTCATTTTTTCGCTTAGGATATCCAACATTTTCTGAAGCTCCTGCGCATGTAAGCGAAACAACGTCTCATTCTGGTAAAGATGCACGCGAAACGAAAGAGATAATACTAGGATATAGCCAGAGCTCACCGCTAAACGGCTTCTCAAAGAATTTAACTTGTCCATAGCGCCCCTCAGATCGGCGTTCGCCTGTGCGAGTGCGGCCCTCAGAGGCTTCACATTCTCATTGATATAATGAAATACCATGATGTTCTTCACCCAGCTACAAAGCCCCGCTGCCGCTTGTGATTTTGAATATACAACATCTGGATCGAAATCTATCATACATAATGCATTTTATTAAAATTATAATTTTTTTATTCGGAAATAATGTGTATAAAATATTTAACATCTTTCACGATTGAGTGTCAAAAAAAAATCATTTTTGCTCGTTTTTGTAATTAATTGAAAAAATATATGAATTTAAATTATGAAAATATTACAAAAATGATTACAATTTATAATAGAAACAAATTGTGCTCTTTTAGATATTATTATATTCTTATACTTCATAATGTATCTATGTTAATATGAGGTTCAAATCTATTATGAAAGATTAAATCGCAGTTAAGTTGTGTGGGAATTAGCAATGTTGATACCTTTATCGTTGATGTACGGCTGAATCGCCTTAACGACATCTGGATGTATATTCTCTTTATCGTAATTGCGCAATTGTGAGAGAAACCCGTCGATAGATCCCATAATTGTTCTACAAACTTTCCAACTTTTGTCCTTCGAAATTTTCCCTTTCGGTGCGAATAGAACGAGCACAGCCTGAGCGACCATTAGCACCGCTTCCGGCGGGGTACCGAAGGACTTTAATTCGGTTAAGTTATTCTGTAATTATGCAAAAATTATTCCCTTTAATATCCTGTTTTACAGAAAAAAGAAAGCTGTTCTAAGATGTTCCATTTGTCTTATTGGATTATATGAATTTTTTCATGCAATATTTACTAACACAGGTGTTTCTTTTAGAAAAAAGTTTGTAGCGTTAAATTAAAAAGTCAAGAATAATTTCTTTTGTATATATATATTTTTTATTAAACTCTCGTCCACTTATATGTTCAATTTTAATTGCAGTGTAAATTGCAAATTTGTTACCTTGTTCAAAGTATCGAGTGCAGCTTCAGCTTGCCTCACCGCCGGCTCCGCACGCATCAAGTCTTCGTCGCAGCGTTTCTGGTTTTCCGACACCGTCTCTTTAATATCCGCCACTTTCTCTTCTTCTTCGGTGACTGAAATTTTGAATGAATTAGTATCATTCCAGCATTATTGCTTACATTTTTCTATATTTTACCAATAGCCTTTTCCGCTTCCGCTTTTGCATTTTCCGCACGCACCTCGGCTAATATTTTGTCGGCTATTTCGTTTCTTTTCTTCAACTCGATTTCTTGAGCCGTTAAAATAACTTTTAGCCTGTCAACCTATTTTGTGAAAAACATAATACAAGGAATATGTGTAACAAACATCTACAGCAACGTGTTGAGAACGTTTGCAATCCGTAATCGCTGTCTGTCATAATCGGCCACTTTCTATAGTATACTTACATAATATTTATGTAGAAAGATGAATGTTCATTCAATATTTATATATGCATACATGCATTTTAACAAACTAATAATAATTTGACTGAAACCAAAATTTACTTACCTGATGAGAGCAAGATTCGAGTTTTATCAGTCCATCGATGAGACGCGAAATCATTGCTTTCAAGTCGTATTCCTTTTCTGACAGCAACTTAGAATATAAAGAGATTTGCTCGAGAAATGATTTCGGCGTCGTATAATTGTATCGTCTTTCGTTCTGCAAATATAGCGTGGACATGTTGTTCACGCTCGTGTGGACGAAGGACATGAAGAGCGACGCGGAAGTCCTATATTCGGCCGGTAATTCCTTTAAGTCCTAACACAGAGATGGAATGAAGCAGATGAAAACTATGTCCTATTTAGAAACATATATTCTTAACAATTAATTTTAGCAATCTTGAGAGAAGGTTTGTTGAAAAAGCATTGTACTTCCAAAAACGTCGCCGATACAGATTCCAGTGCTTTCTGCGGCCAATCCTGAAACCAGTCGATCGCTGTGCAATTTACTATCGCAGGAAACTGTCTGGCTCTTTTTCGCAGAGTTGCTCCCACCGGCGAGAAGCACAGGACGCATCTCAATTGCCTTCGCACCCGTTCGATGAAGAATTTCCAGCAGTTCTCTTTGCTGTCGATTACTCCGGTTTGCTTGACCTGCGTAAAAAGTGATCGCGTGCTAATAATGACTGCTATTAATATCCGGATGTCCAGGCATCTGTCGTTCAAGACGCTTAAAGATTCTTTTAGTAAATTTTTTTGGATTACAACAATTACCTGAATAATAATCATGAACACTTAATTATTTAAAACTGACAATAGCGTAATAATGATAAACAGTGTGTTTTACCTCATTGCGCACGGCGTTAACGACGTTGTCCACTTCCTCGTCGGCCATTAATTCCGCGATCTCCCCCGATGCTAGCATATCGTTCACCACGACAAGGAACTTTTCCTCAGCGATCTGAGAATCGCTCATTAAGAATGCAATACCAATTCCCTTTACGCCGGCTTTCAGATATAACACGGCTAGATCAGCCTTGAGATCGTTAAGCGAGTAGCCTTTGCGAAGTTGCACTTGAAACACCTGCATGTGTCAAAAATCAGGATAGATTCAACGCGCTTTTTCAAAATGCAAGTACTTAAATAATTAGAAAAATTTTTCAATAATCTATCAAATTAGTATAATAATGGCATCGCAAGTTGTTGGTGCGAAATTTTATTTTTTACATAGAATCTTATTCGTCTACATTGAGGCATTTAAAATTCTCCTGTATGTAAAAAAAATAATACTTTTACATTTGTTATTTATATTTAATCAATCAAAGCCGACTAACTCCAGTGTGCTTTATCAAGTATTTTCTTAGAGATTTTGATAAGCTTGCAAGGAAGGGTGGGGGAAACTCGAGCATAGTAGCTATAATGCCTAATCGATAAAACTGCTTACCTCCAACGAGGAAACGAAAGAAGCTAAGCGCGATAAGGATTGTTTGCCACTACCACCCACGCCGACTAGAAGCGCATTGCCTCTTGGTGCCTCCAATATTCTGTTGATACGACACACGTGATACATGGCATCCTCGAACAATACTAGATTCATCGCGGACACCTATATGTCAAAACAAGTAACTGTAAATCACATTACACGATGATGACAACGTGTAATCGAGATAATACCAGCTCGTTGTAATTGAGCAAGGCTTCGTTGAGCAATTTTACAAGCTGCGCCCAATCCTTGATTGGCGCGTATTTGGGCTCGCCGATTCCTCCCGCGAAATGGCAATATATCAACGGTTGCTCCAAACCGAGTTCTCTCTCGTTCAGCTCCTGGTCGTTAACCAATTGAATAAGAGATCAGTATAAATAAACCAAGACGGGCGCATATTTCACATTCACAATCAGAGTCAAATATTCTATTAAGTACAGTGTCTAAGATAAAAAAAATAAAATAAAAAGAATTAAAAAATAGTAACAACAGAAGTTGAAAATAACGTGGCTTTAATTTTCGCTAGTTATTCACGACATTTATCAAGCTGTTAAACGTACGGGTACATTTTTGCGAAGCGCCTCGAGCAGCAGGCGATCGAATATCTTCTGATCCTCAAAATTTATCAATTTGTCACGATACACCCGCGTCGCTTCGTGAGCGTAGAGCCTGATTAGATGACTCGGAAGTGGTAGGGCGTCGCCGCGGGCGAAGAGCATACCCTGCGCGTAATGTCGAAGTGGTATTGTCGTTACATTGTGCTTTGAAAATCGCATATTTACTACTGTTGACTAGACTACTTGATTCTGACCTGGAATATGTTGGTCAAGTCGCGCAAATTGAAAACGTAATGAAATTTGACGACCGTCGGCAGAAAGGTGGCGGAAATTTTATCGTGAAGATACAACGCGGCGTCAATCAGAGGTCCCGTAAATTTTTGCACCGCCGGATTGAATTTTTGCTGCGGATCCGTCACATGCTGCTTGAGAATTTGACTGTATATCATCATGAGCGCCTCGATTTGCGGAAAACTGAAAACGAGAATGTCGATGCGATGATGAATGCTTATTTTCGTACTGCACATACGACTGAATAAATAAGTAATAAAATTTACCTGACAGCAAAGACGGCAAAGTGTCTTTGTAACCGGGGATCTATGGTGAAACTGCCCGCAGTAGGGTTCATGCAGGAAACATATTGCGTATTGTGAACCTCTTTTAAAGTTAGTTTCGTTCTGTCGTACCTATGTTAAATTTTTAAGCATTTTTAAAGCGTGATAGATTAACAATTAGAATTAATTATCAGAATTATTTATTAGAATTAGGAATAGAATTAATATTGAAAAGAAAGTTATCGGATAAAATTTTTTTACTTTTTTGAAGATTCCACGTATCGAAGATCGAAATTATTACCAGTGATTGTAATCCATATGTTGTCTGATGAGAGTATGAGGTTGTACGGTCCCATAAGTGTCCACTTCCGGCATATTCATGTCGTCTATGAAATATACCAAGAGTTTCGTGCCCGGTGGCCCGTAATTACGCCCCGCTTTCTTCTCCAAATGTTTCTCGAGCACTTTCTGTAACATGTCTTTTCAACGAAAACGAAGCAGATATATACTTTGGTCACTTTAGTGAGAGCTATGATGATTGCAACGTGCGATGGACGTGTAATTTTTCTAATAAGTTATTTTGCCATTTTGAAAAACACTGATAGTTTATGAAAACTATGCGTCTATGAATATAGGAACTATTTCAGTTGTTGTCCACAATATAATTTTTTTATTTACCTGATGTAGTGTAAAAATTGAAGGGAACATTTGCGATGTTATAATTATCTGGCAAACTAGCCAATTTGTCGGCTACGATAACGCTTTTTCCAGAGCCCGCTCCACCCACGAACATGACGGGAACGCGTTTCTTTACCAATAAATCCATGAAAAATCGCAAGCGAACTGTTTCTCCCGTTGGTACCAAAGCGGACTGCATTGAGTACGTTAAAAATTTTTAACACGAATGACATTTTTATTTTATTTCTATTCACAATATATACTGTCACACAATATGTTCTTTACAATTTAAAAAAAAAAACAGTAATTTATCTAAATTTTGCTCTATGCTATTTTGCGTTTGTACACCTTTACTGTAAAATAATTTAACAAGATTCAAGAGGGAAAAAACCTGCAGCGGAATATTCGAGTCCAACTCGAACGCGGTGACTTTTTCGGTCCAAGGCACCAATTTTTTTGTCTCTGGTTCTATAAAGTAACTGAACACGGTTCCACCCGATGGAAACTTAACAGTTTTGAATTCATTTTGCCACCACCTGCTGAATTCGTTCCGCCAATCTACTAACTGATCTCGAAACATTGCAGAGCCGAACGCCCAAATACAGGCGAATGCAAAATACAATTCGCACCTGAAATATAAATCATAAATGTACATGTTTTGCATTTTTTTTTTTTTATTATTTATTATTGTAGGAAAGATGTCGAAATAAAGAATTTTTTCGATATGGCTACCATTCCTTCGGGCCGTCTGGCGGTACGTTCTCTTTAGTCAGGAAACAATCGAGTAAGTGACAAAGTACTTCCAGGTGACATATCTCCGGCAAGGGAGTGATTTTCTTAAATTTCGACTTTGTTACTTCCAGCAGAGGTGGAATGTATTTCTCGAATAGAATTGATAGATTAGCGCGCTCGATGGGATCTCTCGTTTCTATCCAGCTTGTTATAAATCTACGCGCGAGTAAATTTTTCGGCTTAAAAAATAAATTCGACATAAAATAAAATGGATAATTTTTACACGTGTTGATTGCTCACGGGCTCCAGCCTAAATCTTGTGGATTGATATACAAAATCCCCGCTCTAGACACTGTTGCCGGTGTAGCTGTCCTGAAACAAAAAGAAATCATTTTAAGATACTAAAAATACATGAGAAGCACTATAATTATTAAAAGTTTTTGCCTTAAATTCCACATTTTATTTTAATATTTAGTTAATTAGATAAAAGTAAAGCTAAGTTTATTTTTTAAACTTAATCTAATTATTCGACTCCTTTGATCGACTTCTTAAAAATCAACTTTTTTCAATAATCAAACATTTTTTATGAATTTAAGAGTTTCATGATCACCTTAAATTAGAAATTTCAAAGAGGAGACGCATGTGCTTCGTTAATGAGATTCTCTCGTTACTCGCCAAGGTTAAAACCTTATTATCATCCATCACCGTGTTCAAGGATTCAATCCACATGGGATCGATGTCACCGTCGAATATGATCCATTTTGGGCCGTCCCCGGTCATATTCGCCTGCTCCCTCATTATCATGGAGAACAACCTGCAGAAAAGCAGTAATAAGAATAGAAAGCCGCCGAGCTGTCTATTACAGAGCCTAATACGAGCGCGTAGCGCGCGCCTGAGCGCGCGCGCTGAAAATTGACGGGTGCAGTATCTTCCAACCCGTCTTTCCATTCCCTCGTTGTCGGATTAATGACACCAAATAACTCGTCGTTGGTCACCGCCTTCGGGTTCAGATCGTTGTAGTACGGCTTGCGCTTTTGGTTTACGTACGTTCGATGGAGCGTTTTCCAGACATCAGTCTTACCGGTGCCGGCGAAACCGACGATAAAGACCGAGTGCCGAACGTGGAATAATTCCTCCAATTGCACCACCTGAGAGAAACCGAAAGAGAAAGGGAAAATATTTTTTCTCTTTTGTTCTCTTTCTTTTCTCGCTCGTCAATCAATTATTCAACGTGAATATGTAACATATTTACTTTTAGTATGAAACCATCTTCTGGCTGTAACTTTAAATCAAGAGCCGCAAGTTTGACCATTTTTTCGAAATCTAAGTCTCTCTTTCGCGGCACGTCCAATGCGGGAAATAGATCCCCTGTGCAGTGAAACAAAATCTTTTGATACATCATGTATTCTCTAAAATTTATACCAGTTTAGTATAAATTATTTTTTAACACAAACATCGAGAGTTTTTAAGTTATAAGATTCAATAAAGGATTAAAATGTCTTTAACAATATTAATCATTCTTTTACCTATTAATCCCATGAATACAGGCACATCGTCAGTCACGATTTTCGGCATATTAAAATCTCTTAGTGCTCTCATTAATACTTGGTCCTCTGGCCTTTGCCTATCATCGCGTTTTAGTTTTCCGGCGACGACTAGAACGGACTTGATAGCTCTCAGACCCCAGTCGTAGTGGTCTTGTTTGGATAAAAGCTCTCGACATAACATGTATAACGTGATAAACTTTCTCGCTAGTAATCTCGCATCTTGGAAGCCTTCGGCCACTAACATGATCTCGCAAATTAGCTCAAAATCGGGCACCACCATAGCGCAGGGTCTGTAGATTTATTTTTGATTATTCACGCGATATTAATATTCTTAATGTATCTAAATATATATTTATTATTAGAAATAATACTTTAGTGACGAATTATTAAATTAATTTATACTATTTCTATTGTGATAATAATTTAGAAAAAATAACTTTATTCCCAAGTGAAATGAAAGTAATCTTAAATTGTTTATTTATTACCGAAATAACGTTTTCAAGTTCTCGGGTAATTCCGTTCTACCAGCATAACCGGGGTTCATCGTTATAAACATGCCGACAGTATCCACGATATTAAGCTCCTCCCCAAAAAACAAGAATTTTTTCTTCCGGTTTTTAACTCCGTCCAGAACACATTTCACTTGCACGGCCACGACTGACAATACTTCGACTGAAATCCTGTTAAATTCGTCGAAGCAACCCCATGCGCCAGTTTGCGCTAGACCCTTGTATATGTTACCGCACGACTGCAAATGTTCAAGAACAAGAAAACAATTAATTTGATTATTTAAAATAAATTGATATACAATCTAAATAGTAAAAATCATAAAATAATGAAAATTTTCCCTTTCCACTACTTACGCTCTTCTGAATGTAATGTAGTTGATTATAAAAAAGGACGTTTATTTTGTTAAGAACATTTCAGAAGATAAATTCTTTTTAAATTGGACATTTCTCGTTCGCAGGAAATTTATTAAATATGAGAGGTGGGAAAGGAAGGAAAGAGAATGTACTTTATAATCCATCTGTTCAGAGCAGTTGAAGACGTAAACCATTTGTCCAAGGGCTCTACCGAGGTCCTTGGTCGTCTCGGTTTTTCCCGTCCCCGCGGGCCCGGCCGGTGCTCCGCCCATTATCAAATGCAACGATTGCGTCAACGTAATGTAGCATCTGTCCGTCAACGGCGTAATTACCAGACGCGGCACGTTACCCAAGTACTCGTAAGCGTAGACGAAACACGCGTCGCAAATGTTGGCGTAGCAATCGCCCGATTTGTCATCCCATCTACAAAGCACAAAACACAATTTTTTTTTCCTATACCTACCGCGACAGAAAATAATTTTCCTATGCAAATTACAGATAATTAAAAACAATGTTTATTATATATATTAGCATGATAAAAGTATTATGCTCGTAAGAAGAAACATTTTGTAAAAAAAATGTTTAATGAAACTATTTCTTTTTCTGACTTATTATACATGATAATTTTTTTTTAAAATAATTATCAAATTAAAAGGCTTTGTTTTCAAAAAATATATTTTGCAGTAAAATCACCTGTGTCTCAACTGCGACTGCCATTGAAAGTTGGAGGAGCTCTCCGCTTTGATGGATATTAGCTTTCCGACAACGTCACGCGCGTGAACGTCAATGGTGCAGATAGTCATAATCTTCTGTCGATCGTTCTCGTTCAACTCGCCGCGCAAAATTGCAATCAGCGTGTTTAATTGGGTGATCTGCTTCTTCTGATAATCCTTAAGCGCGTTCTCGAATCCCTCCTCGAGTCTCGCGAATGCCATATTCACCTCAGAAGTCCACCAGATCTGCGTGCCGCATAGAGCCGGCTGTGCTTCATAATCCAAGATCCACGAATCGCGGGGCTTCTCATCGTACGACGCGACAGCTTGACTGAATCGATGTCTCACGGTTCTTTTCATCGCGTCCGTAACGCGATTCAACCAGATCTCAACCTGCGATTCAGATGATTAAACATAGTAGATTAGCCTTAATTGATTTAATGCAAATTTAAACAAATCGTCGAAAAATCAAGATCTTATAAATTAACGAGGCTCATTCATAAACTCAACTCTCAATACTTATGTATGTGTTGTGCATCGTGTGTCTTATTAAGTTTTTGAATTTAATTGATACCTTCCCCGTGCAGTCACACGTTCCATGCATTTCCATTTCCTCGCCATCCTTCGCTATCATGCCATTGGCATTTTTCGTCGGTTTTCCGCCTTCCATTTTCCATGTGAGGTTCGCCAACGAGTCGTACAACTTGGATAAATGCTTGCAAACCAGCTCGGGATTGTTTCCTGATGCGATAAAGCGTATTGACAGCGGCAAAATGAATTTCTATATTATTTTTATGAGAAAAAAAAAGTGTACTTTACCATTGCTCAGTATGTCCAATAGATCTGCGGATGAGATAAAATAAAATCGTGGATAGGCCAGTCTTTTCGTCTCTAGATAATCGGATAGTGCTTTCTGGCAGATATTTAATTGCGCTTGCAATTCCTCCAGGCGACTCAGAAGTTTTGGTCTATTTGTTGACTTTACTATATTCAAATTGCCCACCATTTCCTTCAACAGATCCTTAATGGAAAATTTAAAAATATCAGATTAGTATTTTTCAATTGAGAAATTGCATAAATTATGAATTCATAATAGAATTTTTTTATTGCAAAAATTATGCATTAGATTATTGATAATTTGTATGATTTTGTAATAGCATACAAAGTATAAAATATTTTCCAAAGATAGTTTGATTGTAATAAAATTCCGAAAATTAATATTTTTAGACATTTATAAAAAAATGCCTTAAGAAAACTTGTTAGAAATTAAGATTACTTTAAAATCCTTGTCTATCTTTTCGAAGCGCTTTGATTCTTCCGGCAACTGGCTTCTTATATCTTCCGAACCGATGAAGATGCTTTCGAGATGCATCCAAGCTCGTTGGACTTGAAACCAAGCGTTAATTACGGCGTCCGCATTGCTAAGCTTTTGCTGCCAATCCAATACTTCGTCGAGGAAGTAAGCGACGTATTTAGAGTCCATCATGCTTTGCAGTTGCACCTGGAATCAGTAATTTTACAGATACTACTACGCATACGCCAGCTCATAATAGTAAATATACTTTACCGAAGGAAATAATATCAATTAGGCTCTTGGCGGAAAAAAATGGGAAATTTCTCCAAAGAATTCCGATAAATAACGTACCTGATTTTCTTCCAACATCTCGATCGTTTCCTCGCCTATTGTTATGACACTGAGCCTAGTGCGTTCGTGCGCCTCCTTGCCGAACTCGAGAGTATCCCATGTGCCGTGAAGCTCTTTAAGAACTTTCTCCATGCTCATTTCCTTAACCGCCTTGTCCACCATGTTCTTAACTTCCTCCTCGTATTTGTGAAGCTCTAATTTCAATAAATCTTCCAAAGTAGTTTTATCGTCCATGGTGAATCTCACCTGTAATGTTAATTAGAGTTGTACAAATCGAAATAATGAAATTTTTCCGATTATATACGAAGAATTACAAGAATGATGTTATTTGCGCACTCGAGTCTCAGCCATGAGTTCTTGCCAATGTCTGGATTTGATGGCGGGATTTTGCAGTTCCGAAACTGCCCTTAACGATGACATCATATTCCTCACTTGCGCTTCTACGTGAGCGTACAAATCCCAAGTTCGTGTCTCTTTGTCTAATTCTAAAATAATAGAAAACCTCCGTTTTTTAAATATATTGTTTTATATAATTTTGATAAATAAAAAAACAAAAAAATGTGATTGAAATTGATTTTCAACATGTTAGAAGCGTGATATATTGAATATCTGTAGTCAATACAAGACTCACGTTTCAATTCTCGAATTAACTTTTTACACTCCTGATCCATTCCCTCGACGTCTATTTTTTTCCAGAACGTCGTCTTCCATTCGTCTAGACTCGACGTAATGACATTGACATAATCCCAAAGGTTCTTTAGAAGCTTTAATTCCCGTCTCGCGAGTTTGATTTGTTTAAATTCCGGCACCTGCTGTTCGAATATATTCGCTTGATCACGCAGCGCTTCTAATTCCCTTTCGAATTCTAAAATTTCTTCATTTATCTTGTCCAATTTCTCGTACACGTTCGTACAATCGAAACTGTGTAATTAATTAGAAACTTGAATTATAGTCAGTAGCTCAAAGTCAAATTTATATAGATTCAGAACTGTTTTTGAAAATAACACAAGTTTTCATATCATTTAATAATTTTTTTGTGCATCAACACCCGCGTTCTTTTGGTTCTTATTGTTTTTTTGCTCTTTAAAAAATGTTTTGCTATTAGTAATATGAATATATTTTGTGATCTATCAGAGATACCTGAAGATGACATTTTCGCGGAATCGCGCCAGACACTGCTGTTGCTTGAAGTCGTAATAATTAAGACGTTTCTTCAGCAACTCGATCTGACGTGCCATCAGAGGATTCACAATCTGCTTCACTTGCGCCGCGCACTTCTTAACATTCGCCCATTGCTCCGGCAGTTCCGTCAGCCAAATATACGTTTCCTCGCCGAATTTTACTTGGTATTGCTTAAGAAGGTCTATAATAGCCTGCAATCGCATTTTGCTGAATAAATGAGTGGGAAAAAAAGGGAAACGATTTTTAAGAGTACAAAGAAACCTTGATTCTGTTTATTAATTAATCTTCAATTTCATATTGAAAACCAAACTGCTCCCATAATACCACCTTTTTACTCTACCTTAATAGGTTCCCACATGTCGTCGATCTGATAATGCCGGTCTCGAACCTCTTTTAGGTAATATATAGTGTTTAGCAAGTCCTCGTAATCATCCGGTGCGATCGGCTGTGTAAATTTCTTTAAAGCGTTCGTCAGAAACTCGCTGAGATTCCTGAGTCTGCGTGTGACATATAAATTAATCAATTATCAATCAAATGCTATTAATATGCTATAAGATATAAAAGACTATTTTTAAGAAAAATAATTAAATTTTTAATTTTTATTAAATTCTCTAAAGAAGAAAGAGAGTGATCGTAATATGTTAAACAACATATATTAAGATGAGATAAAATACTTGTTGTTAGTGTCGAATTATTTATCAAAAGTTGTGTGAAGAAAAATTAGAAACGTTGATGGAGAACAAATACGTACTCGTTATTAACATAGTCAACAAGATGCGTCTTGAATAAATTAGTCCACTTGCAGATTGTGTTGAGTAAAGCTTGCTTCAGGGCTCTCACGTCTAGCCGTAACCAACGCAAAAAGACCTTTTCGTTTACGAACTTGTCGCACTTATTGTAAAGTTCCATGAAGTAGTCAATTTCTCTCTTAAAATCAGCCAATCCTGGTTTTCTCTCTTTCAGATTCTCTGACAAAGTTTCTAGCCCTTGCGTTACCATAACTTTTTCCTCATCCGTGAGCGCACGGCCAAAACGTAAGAACAGATTCAAATACTGTTGTTTGTCGTTCAGCCACAACCAGGAAAACGGTTCGAAAATCTGCAGTTTTTAGGAGCGTTAATTTTAGTAAGATATAAATAAATTATTAACTTATTTATAATTCGGAAATTTGGCTACGCTCAAACATACATTTGATTCTAACAGATCAGACATCTAAGCATGGATAAATAATAAAATATAAAACATTATTAAATCTAGAAATATTGACAAATTATAATGAAATCTAATATTTATTCATCGGAACGCTTCAAGTTTTCTTATTAGAGAGTTGGAAATGTGGGAGTGTCCACTATATATCATATTTACATATCCGTGTATCGATATATTGCTTTCTATCGCAGAAACGTGACAAGTAAAATGTATTTATGACCAAAGTTTGCGATCGAAAATGAGATAACTATAGAGTTACTTGAAGATCTTACGACAATGTATTCCTGCGCTTGTACCAAACCCAACTTGATCCGGTTACACGTCTCCTCGAGCATGAAAACGATGTTTTCTTCTTCCGCTAAATCGATCTTAAAGTATTATATCGCGATTAGTAACGGAAGAATCCTATTACTATATCATAAACGCAGTGAACCGAGAATTATAATAGTACTAACAATAGTAACAATAGATCAGATTTTAAAGATGTAAAAATATTTGATTTTGAAAATAAGAATGTACTCTAATAAAGACATTCAACTTTTGATCTGAAATTAAATATTAGTTTAACATTACATTAACAATTAAATATTTGTTTTAAATTTTGTTTTCAAAGCATGTTTAAAGCACAGTTTGCCAAAATCTCTTCTTTCTTAATTAACCATTGTTATTTAAAATGTAAAAAAAAATTATTTAAAAAAATTTAAAGTTCTTAATGCATATAATTATATGCAACAATGCGCCTATCAGTGAGCATCCTGTATACAACAACGTACTCCGTAGTGCTCTCGTTCCGCTGCGACGTCGGAATCTACACGTGGTATTAAAGTTCCCATCTTCATAATGTCAAGTAACAAATTCTCGTAAAATGCGTAGAAGCCGTCGGGATTGTCCGGATCTACCGGAGGGTGAAAGATGATGTGGGGTACTTCGAGCGACAACTGAATTTCGAAAAGGGGCCACACGTTGCTCTCTGGATCGGTTTCATCGAGTAGGTAGCATATACTGCAGTATATAAATATGTATCGCATAAAAACAAGAATGAATTTATTATTAATTGGTAGAATCTGCAAAATAATGTTCAGAGAGAGTTTTAATCTCTTGCCTTACGATTTAATTTGCGATTGCGTATGTAATAGTTAGGCGTTGCTCGTGCAATATCGCGTTTATTTTAGAAACAAATTGTATAAATTTATCGGTTCAATACCTGGTAGAAGCGGCTTGGATCAGAGCTTTCGATATCAAATCATCGACATAAGCGAGATAGGGCTTCCATTTAATCATACGCTGAGCAATTTCCTCTCCCGTTTCGGTTACGCCGGCTATCAATTCGGCTTTTTCATCCTCCACAATATCCATCTCTTCATCAAGTCTATGATGATGTATGAGTGTTTTATGAAAATGTTAATAATTTTTATATTTTGTTATTACAGCTTACAAATGAAATATTATTGTGCATAATTTTGATCATTAAAAAAAAAACAGAATGATTCGCACCTCAATTGATCTGCTTCCATATCGTCTGCCTTTTTTGGGATTTCTTCGTCTTTCACATCTTGCTCTTTCGTATCCAATCGAGTTTTTGTAATTGAGTATGTGTTATGATCGAGTATGGTATGTCTACTTATCTTTAGAAAAACAATAAGAATTACTTTCGTCCAATTCGAATTCATGTCTCTTATACAGTGAATCGGGCAGCAAGTCGAAGAAAAGTTTGTAATTTTCGTCCAAGATTCGATTTAGTTCCTTGGCAGCGTGCTTGATCTGATCGTATCTCTTTTGCAAATTCTCGTCACGCTCATTTATGGCGAGCAAATTTTCATTCTTAAAATCCTTACGCTCTAATATCGGCATCAGCGCCCACGAGTAAATCGTTTGCAATAATGAAGTGATGTTTTCTTGCGCGCGGAAGATCCGCGTATATAACTTTTGCACCAAACGCAGCAAATTGCCGATATACTCCGGCACTTCTGCAAAAAACAAAATATCGATGAAATTATACAATAAAATAAGGAGAAAAGTAAACATTTTTATTTGTCCATGTATTATAATTCTTATTAGAAAAAATGCGATACTCAAAAGCGTTATTATTGCAAAAGATTCTAAATTAATAGAATTTCTTTTTAATCTATACATTATTTCGAATTATTATTTTTTATATTATTTTCTAATTATTATTCAAAAAGTAAAGGGTTTTTTAAAGAATTTAATTTCTTAAACGCTTCTTTGTTATTTATATCTCATTTAAATATTGATAAATTTTTACCAGGAGAATTCCAATTGTAATTTTTCTGGCCAAAACCGATTAATTCGTCCACTTCTTCGATTTCGTGTTTCACCAACTCAAATTCCACTGGCAAACTGTACTGTCTTATTCGGTTGTACCTGTTGTTTGAAACGAATATATGCATTGAGATACTCAAATTATTTTTGAATAAAGTGTTTACTCACCATTGCACGAGCAAACCAAGATTGTAAGTATTTTCAAAGAAATACTGCGTCCTGTAATAGAGCCGAGATGCTTCCTCAGGTAGATCCTTCCTCTTCATGATAATCATATAGCGAGTCTCTCGCAGTAAACCGTTAAGTTCCGGATCAAAGTTTACATCAAGTAGTTGGTCCTCGTATATTGTTAATAAACTTCTCGATAGATGAAGATTGCTTACTTCGACTACTTTCTTACTCCATTCTGTGAATATTTCGTTCTCCTTGGCGTCCATGAGTGCCTTAGAAGAAGCACATATGCTTTTATTAACGCAACTTGCATTACAACAAAACTAAATATAAAAATTTACATAAACGATATATTAGCATAAATGTAAATAATAATACATGTAAATCGAAAAATGACCAAATTGCATGACGATGAAGAGTAACATCGTTTTATCGCGTCATAGTTTCTTTCATTGATTTCGCACGATATTACCTGCAATTGCTCGTACTTCAGCTTGGTTTCCTGCACCATTTTGTGATTTATCAAAGGATGATCGACCAATTTCGCGCTTTGCATCGGATACTCTATTCGATGCTGTAATTGTATCAGCGTGCACAATGCGCCAGCGACTTGCGGGAAATATTCATCGGTGTCGATCCAGTCATTCTTTTTAATGTCTTTGAAATGACTGTCGAATATGAGCTGAAAAAGGCAGAGATCAATATTGTATTTGTTAGCTATCAATTACTGATTATTAGCAACGCACTTTAATTTCATCAAAATGATTGTGGATTCTTTGAAGCAATCTCTCGTAATTGTGCCATAATTGCTCCATGATGATCGGTCGATTCGCCATCGAGCCTATGATCCATATCACTTTGAACATAAATTCCGTATTGTGACTTTCAGAGAACGCCTGATCGAATATATTAGCCAACTGTCTGTCGAACTCCTCGACCTGCGAAACAAATAATAAATGTTTATATTGTAGCACTAATCAAGGGGTGTGCATAATGCGCGATTGTTGTATCTATGATTACCGCCTCACCTTCGCTAAAAAGGAAGTTACGTGATCGGTGAACCGTGTTTCTTCCGGCATTAAAATATCGTACTCCAGCTCGGCGAATTCATTGTAGAACTTAACGAACTTATCGTGAATGTTATATATTTTTGAGCACAAGATTTTCCCTCTTAAGCCCCCGAATTCGATCCTTTCTAGCTTGAAATAATCTTGAGCCGTGTCGAATAAAATCTAAATGTATGAGATAAAAAATATAGAATACAATCAGATAAAATGTTTTCTTAGATTGAACGGATTTTGTATTATTAAAGAAAAAAAGACGGGGAAATTTGCCTTTATCTCTCCTAGACGTTTTAGAAACTTTATCATTCTTCCGAGTACCAATTCGTCGTCGAAACTCCATGCGTTTGACTCGGACGGATGCTTGTAATAAGTATCCACTCTACTTTTAAATAAGTCGAACATTTCTATATAATAAGTCAACATGCTTGTCACATGATCCAAACGTTTCAGACTGTCTTCGACGTCGCCGAACAAAGTGCTCTGATCCAAATATTTGATAGCCTATGAAAAAAGCTGCCGATTAGTAATAACATCTGTATATTATAAATTTTGAAAGAGAGAAATCACGATGGGAAGTTCTCAATGTTCTTCGTGTTTTAAAATAAGAGTTGATTTTAACGCTACATCACAAAATATAAGCTCAACTTCCTGTCGTCGCGCAGAATACTTAGATTCTTCAAGCATGCTAGTGTTTAAATATCTTTTTTTACAAACCTCATCTATTAACAGATTAGATATCGCGAACAACAGTGTGACTATACGCGTAGTGGTGCAATAATATTTTGAGTTTGCCCACAACAGGCACACGCAGTGCAGCATCGGCTTCAATTTTGGCTGTATGTCTTTGAATTCGGTATTTTGTATGTCCTCGAAGTGAGGCTCCAATGCTTTTAAGTAAGAATATACGTCGCGCGCTTCAATCACCGCTGAAAATATGAAGTTTTTTGAAAATTACATAGTTCCTATTAGCATTTTTCCTGCATAAATTTATTTAATATCTGTTTGAAATCGTTTTGAATATTTTTACTGAAAGATAAGTCCAATATTTGTTAACCAATTCGTTGGTTAAATGCTAGCAGAATCTAACCAATGCTAACATCCTTTAAGAGAGTCTTGAAACGTGGCGAGTACGGACTCTTGGTTAATTCCAAAATAGAAGCCATCTTTTTCACTCGAAGATCCTTCATCTGATTGTAAATGGATTCGATGTTCTCCAGTCGCTGATGCCAGAATTCGATTTCTGAAAACGTCTTTTTAATGATTATCGCTTCCTCAATTGATATTAAAATTTAAATAAATCAAAAAATTCAGAAATCACATTTTCTTTTTTCAAAATAAAATGTATAAAATATATTACAGATATACAAGAAAAAGATTTGTATGACTTTTTAAACTACTTATTCGACCGTTTCAATAGTTTTAAAAGATACGTCGATAAAAGATGGATTGAGTTTTCGGAAATTTATCTGAAAATTAATTATAAGGAGTTTCTAAATTTTTCAATTCAAATATTATTGTACTATTCAAATAGCGCTACCAGCACTAGGTAGCGGTTGTTTGTCGTTTACGAAGGCGCGTGTGCTTTCCTCGTTGAGTATATCACCGATTTGCGAGCACCACTTCGTCACGATAGTTTCTATATTGCTCTTTAAACGAACATCGACCTCGACACCGCCGCTCTGTTGTGCTTTCCATTCCTCGTCGAATATATTCTCGATGCCCATCGGCATCGGTAGTAAGGTTTGTCCTGTCATTTTACCTTTGACCTAAGAAATTTTATTTTTTTATACTTGAACAATTAATAAAGACATTTTTATTCCACAATAAAATATTTAAAAAATATTCTTCTTCTTATAGACCAATATTTTTTAGTACAGATATTATATTTTGCGGATTAAAGATTAAAGTAATCTTTTTCGCACACCTGGCATATTATGTTGCGCAGATCATAAACATGTTTTTTCACGTCTTCGCCGATAACACTCGGCCAACCCTTATGATTTTTCGAATTTGATAATATCGGTACATACGCCTATACAAAAAAATCAATAAATTAAGATAAGGAGAAGTAAATTAGCGTAAGAATAAACCTTTCTTTACAGGTATAAAACGATATCTAATTTAGACATAAAATTGCTACCTCTTCGACTAAAACAGACAATTCTTCGATAGGTTTCGGAGCCATATCGCCGGGTATAATAACGTTTCTATAATTCTCCTTCGTGATTTGGACAGGTTTCCTCTTTATAAAATATGATGCCTTTACACGACCTGTCGGCGGTATTTCGAGAAACGGTACTAATGTTCCAGCTGGATTCAATTGTACAATCAGGATCATCTCCGACGGTGTATTGAAAAATTTCATAATTGTCTCCTAATATTTCCATTTGAAAGACAAATAAAATAAATCTTTATTGTATAATTATTAGTTTAATAAAAACTGATCATAATTTTTCTTTTGAAAGTAGATAGTTTCAGCATTTAAAAAAGAACTCTAGTCTTTTAAATACAATTACATTAATGTAACATTTTTAAATTTATTTTCAACAAACTAATAATTTATATATTACAAATTTATAAAAAATGGAAATATCTTAAATCATGACATACATTTACATTTTATTTGCATAAATACAATTAAAGGTTAGAATTTAGAGAAAAATATTGCACCTTGAATTCCTCACTTGATAGCATCTTTATCCATTTATCGATTTTAATTTTTCTGGAGAGCACTAAATATTTATAAATATATTCGAGACGTTCATCGTCCTCTTTTCTTTCTTCTTCCTTCTTATCGGTCATTTTCACATTTACAAAAAACGTTTCTTGTCACTAATGTCATTCAACTGAACATTGTCAATCTATTTTTGCAGAAATGGCTGCGTTCCAAAATTCACTGTCAGTACTGAAAATCTACAATATACGTGACGTAAACTATAGATTTCCAGTACTGGCGGTAAATTTCGAAACGCAGTCAATATTGTACAGAAATAAAAAGACGACGAATGTTACAATACTTACATATTTTATTAAAGCATATTTACATATAAAAAGATGCAGGAATCGAAAGAATGGATAAGGCAGAAAACTTTTCTATTTAAAAGATTTCAAGTAAATCAATTTTTATCGCAATTTTCAATATAAAAATAATTATATGAGAAATGGTTATATCGAATTAATAATTATCTTGTTGTTGAAAGGATGAACCATTTTGCTGGCCACGATGATACAGTATCTTCTGTCCGCAGTTTTATCCTTCGTGTGATGTCTAATTGACAACAGACAATTTCCGTATACTTCTTGAAGCCGCAACGCCCCATTGAATCCGCGTCCCTTTTACCATCTATCACCTCTCGTAATCTGGACGGACATTCGTCTATCCTCTTGCATACGCCTAAGTTGCCGGCCTCCAGTTCGCAATTACCGCCTTCTGCGTAAACCAGAACAAGGTTACATCGAGATTATACTCTGCGTATCGTTCGCAAGTGCGTCGCGAAGGACGAAAGAAAATTGCGATGGGGAAGAAGAATGTGAGGAAAAACCCGGAGGTCGTTGATCGAAGAACTGCCCGCACTTTCAATCGCGTGTGTGTTAATGTGTCTGACTCATAACATTTTTTTTCTTCATGAAATTACACAATGTTTTCAAACGATAGCATTTTCACAACAAACAATGCAAAATTGACCTAAATTAAAATGAAACATTATTTTTCTTGTCGCGTCACATGATGATTTAACATATTTAACATATATTTAAAATTTGTCTATTGTACCGTAAAGTTCCTCTTGAATCGGTAAGCCATCCGTAAACAATGTAACTAAAAGGATGATCAAAGTGGAGAAAAAAAATTTGGAGTCCATCTCGATCAGTTGATTTATTACAGCTTGCACCTGACGACTAAAAAAGAATATAAACATATAAAAAAAGTCAGGTAGCCTCGGCGGATAAGACAGTTAGTGAAGAAGAGAGATGCAAAGTGCGTTTGTTTTTTTTTCGCTGATGTAAAATATATGCCGAATCGCTTAAAAATAAATGCAAATGATAGAATTGCAAATGTCGATCAGTCTAATCTCAGGTGTGTGCTTTTGTTATTGATTCTATGTTATCTGCCAATTATTATTTTATTTAAATAGTTGAGAAAAATTCGGCAAGGAAAAATCGATCGATTAAATTAAAAAAAAATAGATGAGAAAGAAAACTTATTAGATAATTTAATTGGTTACTTAGAAAATTTCAATTATGTATATGTAATAAATAAAACTTTTAATCTATAAATATTAATTACATTTCTCATAATTAAATAATAATATAGACTTACAGAAATTTCTGGCACCTCGAATGGTTCACTTTCTAAATAAATCACTTATAATAGTGCTTAATGAAGGGCACTTAATGATTTTTTCTTGAAGAGGAAATAAGAAAGAAAGTACTCAAAGTACACTCTTCTATTCGCACAGTTCGAGGCTACTGGAGATTCAGCTGGACTGACGGGACCGGACTGGACTCGACTAACAGCCACCGCAACGCCAATGAACCGGTATCGTAAAAGCGGTAGAAATGGGTGGAAACTTTGATGCACGCCCACACGACAACATATGCTTGCATATTTTATTAAAGCATATTTACATATGAAAGAATGCGTTGTTTGTGAGAGAAATTATATATATATAAAAGTATAAAATTCGCAAAAGAGGTATCAAAAAGATAGATAAGGTAGGAATCAAATAATATAATAAATGTTGAATACCTATACCTTTCGCGCAATGGCTTCCGACTAGATTATTCGTAATAAACGAAATAACACCACAAATCGTTCGAAAGTATCTGAATTCGCATGCTGTGTCACTGAACTGAGATTTCTCCTGATAAGAAAAAAAAAAAAATAGACGATGAGTCATCGCCCATCGTTAGTCAATCGTTTCCGGCCAGACTTGTTCCTCGATCCAGTCCAGGTAAGAAAGAACCGCTGTGTAAATCCCTGGTATCGATCCCCCGCAGGTTTGGCCAAACGCCGTGATTCCTACAATACTGTGATTGTATTGAGTGGGCCCGGTGCGCATCAGTAGAGGACCGCCGCTGTCCCCTTGACAAGCGTCTGATCTTCGCGTAACGTTTGTGTCTATTACGCACAACATATTCTCGTCCAGACCGCGAGGCAATTTGTTGAAACCGGTGAACGACTTGGCGCACGACTCTCGATCCACCATACTGCAAATTACAGCATAATTGTTACAACTGCATTGTCTTCGTTCTATGACACATTTATAACAGATATATAAATTTATATTGTTAAACGCCGACATTCTGAACTTGGTAATAATCTTCGCAAAAGATATCTTTTGAATTTCGTCGTTGAGAGAAGAAAGAGATGTGTATTCAAAACAATATTTTTTTATTTAACTGCATGTTAGATTGATTATAGAACTAGTTTTTGTCAATACATTTATGTCGATAAAATGTATTTTAGGTAAGAGTTTAATAAGCACATATTCATAATTAATTCTTGAAGAATTATTATCCAAAAGTTTTGTTTACTACGTATTTCATAGATATTTCTTATATTTTCACCTGAGACTTGGTGTCTTCATTAATTTGGTGCTGCTATCTTCGTCAAAGCTGGTAGCGCCCCAGCCGATTACAATTAAGTCTGTGGTCCGCGACCTTTCCACAGTGTCCAGAGATTTTGTCTGGATGCAAATCGGCCTTATATTGTTGCCCACTTTGTTTACGGGCGTTCGTAATTTCAAGATAGCCACGTCGTGGTAATTCTGGCTGCGCCTGTATCGCGGATGCGTTATCACGTCGCTTATGGGAATTCGTTGCTCGCCGTCTCCAACGCTTCTCAAATCCACACTGCCGATCCTCACCTGAGAGCAAAAGAAGTTCTTTCTTAACTTTTAGAAGTTTGCAATCTATAAATAAAGATGTTTCATCCGTCACAAACAATTCAATAGTCAAGAAAACCTTTCCATTCTATTTATCTTGTAATCAATTTATTTGCGCAAAAAATATCAAAATAGTGTGATATTTTTCGCAGAAATTAGTGAATTACAAAATGAACTGGGTGGACTGCTTCGTATACTGTAAAAAAAAAACAAATTTATATTATAATAAATGCAAGCTACATGAAACATTCTGAGTCATGTATTAAATACTTTTCAGATAAGTCTATAAATATAGTTAAAAAAAAGAAGGCAATATATTTATTTTACTTCTATGCGGGATTTGCTTCTACTTGTCTCTAGTTTCAATTGATGATGATTTTTTAATCAGACAGCGATGTGAAAAAATTTGCCCGAAATTTTCTTTCATTAATTCATCGAATTACATTTACTCAAACCGAAGCAAATATTTTGATGATCAAACGCCGGAATCAATAATGATCTTGCAAAGTTCGTTCTCACCTCTATCGGTATCAACTGCTGCACATTATTTACGCAATGAGCAGCGGTCAGCACGTGCTGCGAAGAGATTAGCGTACCGCCGCAATTATACTGAATGGGCACCGAATTATTGTCATCCGCGTCTTGGTTCTCGTATCCCAAGGCGACCATGTACGGGAATTCCCCGCGTTCGGCTTGCAAACCGGCGAATATGTTAAATTGCACCTCGATGTTCTTTCTCGCCTTGGTGTCTTGAGTCTCGATCTCGTTCTCGTACTGTCGGCACGCTGAAAATCAATAATGCATGATGAATATTGCTGTTTGCGTTTTTTTTTTTTTTATAAAAGACACAACAAACCCGGCTCATTATGCCCATTAACGCGGAACCCGACTCGGATTTATAAAGTCGTAACCGTGACCGTAAGAGTTTATTACGTCACTATGCGTCTTTACCTCTCAAGGCTGATCGCTCTGCGTTATTTAAACGAATTCTCGGAAACAAGCGTACGATTTACATGCGCGCGGGCGCGTGCTAATGATACGTTAAAAACACAAATGTAGAAATATGATAAATGTTAAAGCTATGTAGATACATTGATATATATACATATAAGTAACATTATATAAAAAAACCAACTTTAAAGCAAGCTTTAAAAGCTTTAGCGATGTACAGTAATTTCGAACACGCTATTATCTTGTAATTCTAAAAGACATCAATATTTTAATTTTATTCATGCAGAATTTTATCTTTCCTCGAATGCAGAAAAGAGAGTAAGAACCGTTTATTAGATATCATAACAGCAGGTCGAGAAACCTGTTTGTGAATAAAGGTAGAATAAACAGTGAGAATATATGCGCGGAATCATCAGATTCGTCTTTCTTTATTTCGAATTGTTATCGTCCCCAAAACCGGAAAGACATCTTTTCACAATCTTTTGGCGCATAGTAATTTAAAAAGTAAGATAATAAATGATATCCGTGAGCAGCGAATAGAGAAGAAATATACGCCACCTCTTTTCTATCAAAAACATTCCGAATATATAAATTAATAGGACCGAATAAAATTAACAAGTCGGTTTAATGAATTAAATTATCTAATTGTAAAAAGTTGTATGTATACATGGATTAAAACACGCTGTTATGTATTTCGAATGTAAGTTGCTCAAAATTTGGTAGACTAACTAGTTTTTACGCAACACCATTTAATTGTAAAAATTGAATAAATTTGTTGACAATATCGTACCTATCTCCGCTGGCCGCAGTCCTATCTTTTCCGTGATGTTCAATTGACAACAGACGATTTCCGTAAAGTCCTTGAAGCCGCAACGCCCCATCGAATCCGAGCTTCTTTTACCTTCCAGCACCTCCCGTAATCTGGACGGGCATTCGTGTATCTTTTTGCACACGCCTGTCGTGCCGTCCTCCAGTTTGCAATTACTACCTTCTGCATAAACCAGAACGAGATTATATTGAGATTATACTTTATGTATCGCTCGTAAACGCGTCGCAAAGGATTGCGATGTGGAAGAATATAAGCGAAAACGCGGTTGAGGTCGTTGAAACTGTCGATCGAAGGACTACCCGCACTTTCAATTGCGTGTTAATGTACCTGACTTACAACATTTTTTCTCGTGAGATTACATTTTTAGATAATAGCATTTTCACAACAAACAGTGCTAAATTATAAAAATTAAAGCATTGTATTGATTTTATGAAGTAATCTGTAGAGTCTTTTCCTATTTTAAAATCATATGTTTTATTTTATGAAAATATCAACATTAATTAAAGTTTCGAGGCAAAAGATTTTAAATATTCATTGAACGCACGTACATCCGACTATATCTCGACTCAGCCTGTAGACGTAAGTATCTTTAAGTATTTAATATATGTAAAAGATTAAATAATATGTGAACGATTAAAAGTAAACCTAAAGTATTAACAATAGCTTTTATAATACATAAATTAAACAATGAAAATGTAGATTTGGATTTTTTAATTAGCAGTCGTGAATATCTAGACGTAATGCATTTGCTCCAAATTGTCAAAATGTTGTGTCACTTTGTGTGTTAAGACGTGATCGATTAGTGCTTATGTACTACATATGGAATGACGCGCAGCGATCGACAATAACGTAACACTGGAAAATTACGGACGCAGACTCAAGCGATGACTTTCGTCGTTTCTTTCGATTGAATTAATTGCGTATGAATATGAATATGTAAATATCGTGCCACCGCGACACTAGTAGCGGTCATCAATTGTATCTGATGACGGCGGGGAAGAACAGTCGGCCGTGAACACGTCAATTACGACACCGCAAGATAAGCTCAAATCAGGAAGTAGTCTAAGTAATATATTTAAAACTGCGTAAACTGCGTTAAACAATTTTAAATTTTTAATTAAAATTTATGACAAATTTAAAGTTGATGTTTTGAAATTAAATTATCAAAATACCGATTAGAAATGAGGTAAAAACAAAGAAACGAAGAATTATGAATAAAATTTTAGACACATAAATACAATCAAAATAAAGTTATACTTTTTTATAATTAATTTTAAGTAAATTGTAATTTTTAGAATTTTAAAATAGAATTTTAATTTGAGATTTTATGATGCAGATTATGTGTGTGAATGTTCAAAATTGGAAATTTGCGTTAAATAATAATTTTATTTTTATATTAAATATATCTATATTACCATTATGTTATCGATTAACAACAGAAATGCATCATAATAATGAAAAATATATTTAATGGAAAATAAAGAAATATATAGTCGCGATGCTTTATTTCGAATTCCGTTCTGTGACATTTATCTCTTCATAATTTTGCATATATCGGCGTGTCAATAGTTGTTATAACATATTACATGATTTTAAATTTGATTGAATAAATCGTCATAAATTTCTTGCTATACATTAAACGCGGAGTATCAAATTGACCTATTAACCCTATAACGCATGTTGTTTTCATGATATATTACTTGTGAGCAATAGTAACATGAAAAAACTGTTTAAGTATGTTTATTCGTATAAAAATTTATGTAGTGTTTTATTTTCGATAAATATGAAAAAGTAATATATATATTTCATATTTATCAATAAAATAAAACATTACATAAATTATATATATATATTTCTAGTAAATATATATATTTCTAGTAAAAATTTAATTTAATATAAAATAAATTAATTAAAAATTTGTGTATTGTACCATAAGTACCATAAAGTTCCACTTCCATTGACAAGGCATTTATAAACAATTTAACTAAAAAGACGATTGAAAGCGAAGAAAACAATTTGGAGCCCATCTCGATCAGCTGATTATAATTTTGCACCTGACAACTAGAACAAAAATATAAATATATAGATTAGGGAAAAAACTAATTTAAATACTAATAATTTTTAGTTTAAAAAAATTAAAAATGTCAAATAATATAATTAAAATTTTACACTTTAATCATATTTTATTCATATAATATGTATTAATTTGTGGATTTACACAAATTTATAATTTACAGATTTGCTAATTCTTAAGCAGATAGAAAAAAAAATTAGACAAGGAAGAATATACATTAAATTAAAATTAATACATACAATAACATTCCTCATATTTGTATAATAATTTATAAACTTACAAAATTTTGCACTTTGGTTCCCTTGTTATATAACTCACTTATTATATTTGATGGAGAATACTTGATAATTCTTTCCTCAAGAAAGAATATTCTTTCTTATAAGAGAAAAAAGAAAGAAAACACTCGAAACACTCTTTTATCTGCGCGATTCGAGGCTGTTCAAGACTCGACTGGACTGACTGGACTCGACTGACGGCTGACGCCACGCGACGCGAATGTGATCCGGTATAGTCATCCGTAGAAGCGGTAGAAATGGGTGGAAACTCTGATGCCCGCCTGCACATAGCGTTAATCACTGTCATACGATACGCGCAATATTGCATATAAATCACTATAGATCTCGCTCAGCCCGCTCAGCGAGTATCACACGTGCATATGTATATACGCCCATCTTATTAATTTTTTCATTGCTCTGCATATATAAAATTATAAATTATAAACTTATAATGTTATGTTATGTGTGAGATCTGCGTGCATCACACGTATAAATCATATTCATTTTTCTGCAGAATAAAAATTTAAATTATGCATTAAAAATAAAGAATCTGGTATTTATTAATTCTGTTGATTTAGTTGCAACGCATTTTATTTGCGTAAAAAATTGTCATTACATCTCTGTAAAAATATTTTAAAAGTGTCATACGCTATAATACTCATAATGACTAAATCTTGTCCACAGAAAATGTTTTTCTTACAATTATACCTAAAGCAGATGAACCAGACTTGTGTCACTTATGTATATAAACAAAATATATTTTTATTTACACAATATAATACAGAGCAAAATAGTATTTCGGAAAAATATCCGATATGTCGCTATTGCATTATCTTAAATGAGCATATATACGACATTAGTGTACATGAAGCACACTAATAGTCATCTTCTAATATGCATTTCTCCACAAGTTCTCGTAAATTTGGATTTTCCATTGCAGCTGCAATACGTTCTTTGTCGTTAATCTGTTTGTTAACTAAAATATAATATAAAGAATTAAGAACAAATATGTCCACTGTGTCAGGAAAAAATGCAAAGATATGTAATGGGTATATATACTTTCTTCTTCAGTAGAATGTGCACCCTTCTTTATATAGATATCTAATTTAAAAGATGCCACCAAGAAACGTTCCAATTTAACACGAATGCACAATCCTATGAGAGTTGCTAGCGAGCAATGAGGCACTGTAGGATTAAACTCCACTCGAATTACGGAAACTCCCCTTGGTGTGCTATCGCAAATGTTTATGCATTCCTCATAGACGACATCTAATTCCTCCAAAGTTTGTGGTTTTTCTGGGTCCTTGATCGTCCTCAATAGATCTAAACAATAACAAAACCAAAGTTATCAAATGCACATAAGTCAATAGAATTTGCAGGTAAATTTCCACACTCCATTGACTAAAGAATGTAAAGTTCAATAAGTGTAAAGAACATGACATTTGCAATATCGCACCATCTTTCATCGGACATTGAACAATGCCCGAAATGTCGAATGATACAACACACAAATAGAGCGCAACTTGCCGTAAACATATTCTTTTAACTCGGTATCCGATTTTAATACCAGAGCGCTTTGATTTTTCGCTATTAAGAGATCTTCCGCTGTCCCCATAATTCCCTCCGGCAGTATACCATCCTTTATCTTACTGCCAAGTGATAACTTCCGAAAAAAGGACAGCATATTTATGTAATTAGTGATTATAACAAGAAAAACATGACAACATGATCGAGCATAATATAAATTACGTCATCTATGTTTGATACTGTGCGACACTGTGCGATGAACTGAATTGGAGACCCTAGAAGCAACTTAAACAACTGAAAGTCTCTAGGCTAAATATTAAGGGAGATTCATACTGCATACAATTGCGCTTTCTAGAGATTTTAGCTTTATAATAGTATTATTTTTAGAAAATAAATATTTTTATGCGGACATACCATTATAAAGGATTTTATATTGCGTTAGATATTTGCAAAATACATAAAAAATGTATGAAAACTTTGATATTTCATTAAAAAAATGTTTCTTTTCAAAAACTTCAACGAACGCATTTTTCGTGGAATGACAATTTCTGCAATTGGTATTACAGATAATAACACTAGACACTTTATTCACTGTGCATGCGCCAAAGAAGGAATACTTCGGGTGGATAGGAGTGTTCGATCAATAAGAAACTTTTACGTATGTACACAATTGACAAAGATTCGGGCGTATTTTATGTCTCGCGCCAGTAATTACATATTGATGGGTATGATAAGGAAGAGTGAATTTCCAAGCTATAACGTGATAGAAATTTTGAAACATGAGTTGGAAACTTGAGACTGGCAGCGATAAACAAAAACCGGTGGTGTGCAGCAGTGTTGGTTAGCACAAGCATGGGAAGCCAGAATTCGGAGTAAGCGCGACTTCTCTTGGAAGAAGGCAAGTGCGTAAAAAGCGGTGTTAGTGCTCCCATTCTTAATTAGTGCAATGAGTAACTGGGCGGAAAGAATGCATCGACGCGCCGCTACGTTAGGAAATGTTGTGACCAGTTGCGGACATCCCTCTTCAGGGCCACCATACCCGAGACGCCTTGAAAAGTTAGTATATCGCTTGAGAACAACAAATTTGTCACCTTACGTGACATTACGATATTAAATCTTTAAGAAATATATATTTTTTTAAAAATTAATAACAGTCTCTTATGTGCCTGTTTATATGTATTAGAAATACTGCATGCATTCTTTATTCTTTAACTAAATCTACTTTGTTATTATATAATTTATATTAAATAATTAAATAATTTTGTCTATAGTAAACAAATAAAAAAATAATTAATGCTAATTTTTAAAATTCCTGTACATTTACATGATGACATATATATTGAAAATTGAAATTGAAATGCAAATAAAAATCTGCAGAAATCTTCCTAATTAAAGTAATACATTCTTAGTGAATGTAAAAGCATAAAGTGTCTACTTACATAGTGTACTAATTATTAGGATATAAATATAAATTATTTATATAAAAGATTGATTTTCTATAGGCTTAACAAAGCATTTATATTGACATAAGACACAATGAGAACATCTATTGTCATACTTATCTAGAGACACTGTATTGTTATTTTAATAAGAAAATCAGTTAAGATAATAAAGAACTCTTAAATTTTTTCACAGATGTATGTGTGCTAATTGATATTTAACAATATGTCCAACAAATATTATTGGCATTCTGCATTGTATATGTTTGATGCTCTGAAGAGAAGGTAGAATTGTAAGTAAATGCAGAGTTTGAGAAGATTGCGCATATCGTATATTACTAATGTGTGTTGATATCTCTCAGAGTCCACTGCGTTAATAATGCTGATACCTATTGTATGTGAAGCTATTGGAGCTGTTTAGCGACTTCAGTAGTGAAATTTGGTAGCGTCATTTTGTATAACAAACCACAAAATGCATTTGGCGCAAAGCCTTTAATTCAATATGCGCATCCTCCAAAAGCATCTCACCCATTTTAGAGAAATTTGCTTTGGTATATCATTCAGAGTTCACGCAATTATCCCGTGCTATCATCAAAATTTAATACTTCCGTACTGCAAGAGAGAGGTAACACTCGAATGTGTTTTTATTTTACACAGAGTCAAATTTGGCGTGCCCTTGGATGAAGTGTGCAAGAATGACATTCCCGGTCCTTTACTGGTAAATGCCAAATGCTTTTTCATTATCAAACGTACACATTTGAAAACGCTTAGAGTAATTATAAAGAATAACAATAGTTTGCTCTTCTCGCAGGTCCTGATATTGAAATTAAACAAGGAAGCACCATTCGCAAAAAACATTTTCCGAGCGCCTGGTCATCAGGGTAACATGAAGAAATTGACGCACTTTTTGCAAACCGGACAACTGGTCAATATGGACAATTTTAGCGTTTACACAATAGCCAGCGTGGTGAAGAAGTTTTTACGCAAGATACCGGGCGGAGTGTTCGGGAAGGAGTACGAGCAACAATTGTTTGCCATAATACAGCTAGATAGCATAGAACAGAAACGGGACCAGATACACATGTAATATTTCTTATAATTGACACTGTGTGTTAAATATTTTTGACTATACACTCTTCATTGTTTCTTCACGGAAAAAAATTATGTTGAGCAGATTAATTACCTCCATGCCGATGTACACACAACGATTATTGGTATTGTTGTTCGGAACATTCAGGGTAATAGCTGTAAATAGTGAGCAAGCACATACGGATATGACCAGTGAGGCTTTAGGAGTATCCGTGGCGCCTTCGTTCTTTCAGAGTTGCGTTAGTGACGGCAAGACTGCTAAGATGGAAGACGTTCTCAGATTTAAGGTAAATCACACGAGATCTTGATTTTCATTTATTATAATCAAATAATTTTCTCTTCTTGCTGGTTATTGAAGTTTAATTTACAGTTATTAAGAACTCATGTTGTTTCAGTTTAATTTTAAATGTGTAAAATATATTTTAAAATATTGCAATGATTGTTTTTCTCTTTTGTGTAAAAATCATATAATAGTCGACAATTTATTTCCAGGTTGCCACACGCGTTACCAAATTCATGATAGATAATTTTGGTGTTTCGAATCTGTTTGGAAGGAATAATTACGAATATTATGCGCGGATAACCGGTCGAATAATAAAAGTAGAAGAAGATTGGATCTTTAATTTCCGATATCCGCCGGACACTCTCGTGTCAAGTAAGTTTTTACACGCACGAAACATTTTTAATTATAGTAATTAAGTTACATGAGTGTAATTTGAGTTTACAAATTCCAGGGCAGTTATCGCTGGAAGCTGAGAAAACATGGTTGCAATACGAGTGCGAAAAATGGGGACTAAAATTTAATTTAGAAAGTAAATGAGCTCTAGTATTTCGTTAACAATTGACTCCCTTTATCGTAGCTGCATAAGAATACGACAAATATGTTTATTTTTTTCTTTTTAGAAGAAATTAATTTATTTTTGTGTTGAAAATGTCACTGTTTATAATGATATTTTAATAACTATTTATCCATACGACAGGTATATTGCACCAGGAGGAACCACAATCGACTCCGGCGATGATTCACATGACCGAACCCGTGAAACTCGCTTCGTCATTGCGCATGATCCCAGAAAATACCTTACTCGAGAGTTACGCGCGTCTTTCAGTTAGTCTAGAAGAGAACGGCCTGTTCCAGGTACTACACCATTTATTGAAAGTGATAAAAGCATGATTACGCTTTCACGTTATTGAAAATATCCAAAGCAGACATTTGACATTTTTCAGGCATCTAGTCGCTCGTCGAGTAACGGTAGCAATCTTTCAAGACGCGCCGCAGCGTCCATGACATTGGATGAGCTACGTGCGGTAAATCGCTATGCGGAGAGTACCAAAAGTCTCAGCTACTTGCCGCAGGTACGATTATAAGTGGATAGCATAGAAATAGAAAATAAAAGCATAAATGAAATAAAGGATATCATTCGCTCGAATTTCACAAACATTTCACAAAAATAGAAAGGAAAAATATAACACGAAATAACAGTATGACATGATATTATAATGAAGAATGCGATCACAGGTTCATGAGAGGCAAGCCGCGCGAATGCGAACTAGATCTGAATGGTTTCTCACGCCCATGGAAGGAAGATTGACAGCGATAGACAGCGATCCCACAACGATACATATTCTACATGGTTCCAATCGGTCTTCCTCTGGCAATATTGGTAAACGATCAACTAATAGAAATTCCTATCGCCTATTATCTGTTTTATCGTTGTATTGTTCAGTAGTTTTAACTATTTGCGTTCTAGTTTCTTGACTTTTCAAATTGTCGAACACTTTCTACATTGTTGTTCATTTTTTTCAATGAAATTCCTTTGAATACACAGCCGCAGGTTTAAGTGCCAGCGCGGAATCGGTGAAGCGATTACCTAGCCTACGAAGAAACTCATCCAGGGATAAGCAGCGCTTGCATCGCGCCTCATCCCGCCGCAACAAGGAAAATGGCGCGAAAGAAGGCAATCGCTCAACGGCAACAGCAGCGGTGGAGCCGTGCAAGTCGCATTCTCTGGAGATGATAAAGACTGTGAAAATCGTACGAATGGCAACAACGGCGGATCAACAGCAATCGGTGGTTGAAAAAATGTTAGACGACAGTCACGAGATTATCGAAGAACGTGCAATCAAAGAGGCGCGCGTACCATCGCGCACCGGCGGTGATAGTGTTATCGGACTGCAAGATTGCACCGAGATGGATGTGAAGACATTTCACGTCACTCTGACATACAAGCCACGAATATAGGTGATTCTTGTTTTTATTTTGATTTTGATGCTCTTAGAATCGATATTTGTTTACTTTCATGAAATATGTTTCCTGTCACTTCGACATACAAGCCATAAAGCCGCGAAACGATTTTTTTAATTTTAATCTTGATTCTTAGAAATATCAAATCCAAGCGTTATTTTTCTCGTGTAAAATTCCATATGCTCTTAATTATGGAGATCTATTTTGTCGCCATATTATAACTAAAATATTCAACTCGCATGCGTACGAAGTATCAGTTAAGTCTAATCAATATCATGTCACTTTATTTACTTGTCATGAAAAAAAAAAAAACAGTACATAAAGATATAAATCAATAAAACGCTCAGAGCTTAAATTCATTTTCGATAGGCGCATATAACGCGTATAGAAATACATCCGTAAATAATCAATCGAACTAACGTACAACGTAGTGTTCTATAGAAGTTGAGAAATTTTTAAATTTATAAATTTTGATTTTTCTTTTCGTCACTTTTAAAGGGCGAAGTATGAGGACAAGAGGAAGATAAAAATGCGAAATTAATAACGGGATACAAAAGACGATTATTATACGGAAATATCTAATAAAATTCATCATTAACCTTTTTTTTTTAAATAAAATCGTATATATATATATATGCAGCGTTTTCAGAAGCATGTTTTTCACAGGGTTTTATGTAGAGGAATCACAGATTTCTAAACTATCTTTCCATTCTTTCTCTCTATGAATGAATATAACGATACAAACAACGAATTTAGAAAGTATCACTCGTGCCTAGTCTCATCAACAACTCGCAGATTGTTGGTAAAACGTAACATTTATAAATGATTTGCTCATCTCGTACTGATTGATCAATAGAGAAGGGTAAATATTCTAGAAATCAATTGGATATATCGGGTTATTGTTGAAACCGGATATTATTTTTCGATAAGCACACTTATTTTTAACTGTCATCGAGTAATCGTTTTCATCAGCACTCTGATTGTGCCACGCGAGATATAAAAAATATTTATCTACTTCGCACAATATTTTCTTATATTCGACGAATGTAGTTTATTGATATAATTCTTCGTTGGAAAACATTTTTGCTTGTTGTCGGAAGTTCTCGAAACTTGGGAAAAACTTGAAATTTTGTGCACTCAGCATTTGCAACGTTTGACGAAATATGTCGCATTTTGCTTCATTTGCCAGGACCATAACAATTGCAAACATCTGATCAAAGTGTGCGTATCTGATGGCGTGCTTTTAGAATTCTTTTCTTTTTATCTTTATTTCAGACGGACCTTTGAAAACTTGTTCCGTCCGACGGATACGCTCAATTGCATCCTTCAGCACGCGCAGTCACAGGCGCAACGACGGACGCGCTTCTCACGACGATGAAGGAAGACCTCGTCTGGTGCGGAGCGCACGGAACGCGGTTGCACGTCTGTAAATTAATAAACATTGTTATTAATTCCAATATATTCAACCTACATATTTAACTTTTATTTATTTTTATTTTCATTAAGATTTCCGTTTTGAAAAATTTATTAAGAATAGTAATGTAAAAATTCAAATACAAAACAAATGAAACTTTATTTACAGTGTGGGCGAGCCTTCTCCTCCTGCATCGGCTGCTGTTGTTGCTCTTGCTGCTGTTCTTGCTGAATCATCACGTGTGTCTCCTGGTGTTGTTCCTGTTGTCGTTGTTCGGGTTGCTGCTCCGTGGACTGGCTGTCGGTTACTTCAGCATGCGCTTCGACCGGTACATCCATGGATTCGATCGGGTTCAACGCAAATCTCGGAACCGGGAAGGCACGACCTTCTACAACCTAAAGATACCAAAACTTGATTCTCTCAATTGTTTCCGTCTATTATGTCATATCTGCTTGTTCCCTGAATTGCCATTTTTAATTATATGCAAATTATAATTGTACAATGTGATAATTAGCGATTACATAACGTTGCCTGATGTTTTGTTAAGGAAAACAAAAAATAAAACGGCAGCGGTGGGATTTAAACCCACACCTTCGAAAGAGACTGGTGCCTTAAAAGCGCCTTAGACCGGCCATGCCACCGTGTAAATAATTCGTGATAAAGTTCTTTTATACGTGCCGTTATATTTCCGTTTTAATTTTAAAGAAATGATTACCAAAAATATAGATGCCGTATATTATTATCTACCGTTAATTATTTAAAGTTTATTTTATACGTTAGAGATTATTTATAGAATGCGCGCATAATTTTATTATTTAAATAATAATCCTGTTAAATTATATTAAATTATTTTAGTAACACAACAATTGAACGAATCTCTCCTAGAGATCATATTGGTCTTCTTTAAGAGAAGTGTCGGAATTATATGCCAAAGTAAAATATTAAAAGTTAAAAAATTATATAATGCCTTTTTCTTTCGCTTTACCTGGTGAATTATGTTACGAATTTCCATAGGCACGGGGAAGTTTCTTTCAGTTTCGTCGCTGTCATCCTCCGGGCCTGGGAAGGGTTTCGCTTCCTGCTGCTCGTTACCGCCATTCGGGCGTGGGCGACCTTCGATGTTTCCATGCTCGATCAAATTCCTCACTTCCACCGGAAGTGGGAATGGTCCTAATGGTATCGGACGTGCGCCTTCTGGGAACGGCTTGAGTTCCTGCGTCGCGATAGAATGTATATTTACAAGCGTGATCCTTTTAACGATTATCCGTCGCTCAGTTTTGTCAAAACTAAATTTTACGTTAAATCTGATCCACAGATTTAATGAAAAGGGTGCAGTGAGTTAATATAATTTTTACATTCTTTCACGAACCTGCCTTTCACGTGAGACAAATAAGTAGACATTTACCTCACGACGTGCTCCCTCTGGCACTTGAACCGGGAACGGCCTGGCCTCGCCGATGTGCTGGATGATGTTCTTGATCTCCAGCGGTACCTGTTGAATGATTCTTCTGATCTCAATTGGAATGCCCTGGAAGAGTGAGCGCGGCTTCTCGGGTTCGGCCTGAGGTGGTGCAGGCGGTCTTTGTTCAGTCTGTGGGATCTGTGGGATCTGTGGGATCATCATGGGCGACTGCGGTATTCTCTGTTCTTGGATCTGCGCCTCGGCCTGCGGTGGAGGCGGCGGCATCATAATCGGACCCTGTTGCTCCTGGTTGTAGGAATTAGGAACTTGCTCAGCCTGCTGCTGATACATTATCGAGATCTGAGGTTCCTGGCGAGGAGGCTCTTGACCCATCGGTCGCATTCCCCTCATCGGGTCCATCGGGAAGTGACGTAATTCAATGGGAATCTGACGCATGTCGATCTGGATATCAATATCGAGTGGTTAACTACTGCGCCAAATGAACATATATTGTATGTACAGTATGTCTAAAAAAATTTTTTATTAAATTTCTTTTAATAAAAATTACACGTAGTACAGATAAAAATGTAACTATACTATAGTAATGCTACAAGAAAAGCGTTTTTTAGACATACTGTATTCATGAAAGGAATTTTATCTGTAACGGAACCAAAGTAGGTCTACATTGCTTGGATGACTCACTTGTGGTCCCATCGGGTTCTGAGGTCCCATCATGGGCGTCTGCGGACCCATTCGAGGTGGTCTCATTTCCATGGCCAACTGAGGAAGATTTCGGAGCTCAGGCGGAAGTACACCCGGCGGGATGTGATTCAATCCTCGTGGGTCGCTGAGCGGCAGTTGCTGCATATCGGGAACCTGATACTGCGTGTGTATCTGATATTGATGGTAGCCCGGATTAGGTTCCTGCGATTGGAGAGGAATCTGTACGGTGCCGAGAGGCACGATGATCGGAGTGAGCATTTCCTGCTCCTGTTGTCTGAAATAAAAACATTAATTAAACCACTTTGTCGACTAACAATTTTTTTACCGTAGTGCAAAAATTTATTTAGTTCTATTTCATGATATGAGCGACATTGTATTAAATTTCATTATTAAATATATTATGAAATATTCAAAACAATTAATATTTATGTATACGTTATTTTCTGCTACTCACTCCTGATTTGGATTGCCCGATTCGCAAAGGATGGCAACTCGCTCGCCGCTCAGTCTTTGGAAACGCTGCGGATCGGTGCTGTTATCCAAAGTGTTGTCGCCGGTTCCGTCCATCACCTCGTCGGCTCGTCGTCGTTCGACCACGCAGGAAACTCTGCTGCGAGCTTGTTGAATCAGTGTCTGGAGAGCAATCGAAATTTTGAAGGACGGATCGTATTTAACATCTCAATATCTTCACAAAAACATGAGCCACAAAAGTGTAGTCAAAGATTTTTACATGACAAATTAAAATATTTTTGACACATATCGAATGGTATGAAAAATGAGATATTTACGCCTGCAATGTCGTCAAGATCCAACTGAAGAGGAAGCTTAATGTGCACGGGCGGGAATTCATCGTCATCATAATCGTCGTCGTCGTCATCGCCGCTCTCGCTGTCAGATTTCGAGTTGTTCTCTCCGTCTCCTTGGATTTTCACGTCCTTAGTATCCGGCTCATCCTTCTTCGTTGGCGCAGCAAGACTTTGCAGAGAATCCTTCGACTCGACGGATTCCTATAAATAGAATAATTTTTTTTAAATCTCGAAGTTTCATTATGAGTAATAATTTTATTTTAAAAAAATACAATTTTGATTGCATCTAATTAGAAAGTTAATTCCAAAGGAATACAAGTGTATTATTTTATGCTTAATTAATCATATTTGTAAATCGCAACACATTCACGTTTAGTGAGATAACACATCGTGCCGATAATTAAATCTAAATAAGGAAAAAGGCAATACAAGAATCTTGCAGATGTTGCAGAAAGTTTGCATCTACATTGGCAATGTCTCAATGCTTTCAGATAAGTCTAAGGTCAGTAATTTCATTTAATTAATCATTCCGCAGGAGAAAGGCGTCATGCCACGACTCTTTGTCTTCCTAATCAATGAGAGAAACTTGAAAAATATCGGTAATAAAAAAAAAAAGGAATGAATATTTCTCGAGACTTCGAAAGCCGGACAAATATCATAGCGGCAATCATCATTCGTTGATGCAACTCTTGTCTTCCTGGTCGCGACATCGGGTCACTAGTGAAAGTGGTCTCGCTTTATGTTATCGCGCTATAACCCTCGACGAGACGATGGAAATCGTACATAAATGAGAGAACGTTTCGAATGAACGAAACAGCGCGATTGGTTCGATTTCACATTTCACGTTCTCACCATGCCGCATTAGGACATATAACATATAAATTGGTATCATATTAAATAAAATGTAAAAATTAATTTCATCTGAGTGCAAAATAAATACAATAAAAAAAAGTAGAACGCTATATAAACTCGCGATCGCCGCAGAAATTAGATCTAACTTTCTCCGCGTACAAATTAAATAAAAGCCACTTTTCAAAACTCATAACTTTCCAATTTTCAAGATTAAGAGTCCTCGTAACGGCCGCAATCGAATTGAAGCCGAAATCCCGTTGAAGCAAGTTTTACACTCGTTCCGTAATGAAACAGAAAATCACTAACTGTAATAATGGAAGCAAGAATGATCGACGAATGTCGCCCGGCGGAGCGCTCGAGGATTTCGGCCCCGCAATAATAGCTATACGGGATTACGGTTTAATACGGAAACGCAGAAAGCGACACTCGAACGTTGCTTCCATGAACGCGCATTCTTCTCGTCGGTTGCGTTTCTCGGTCTCACGCAATTGCGGGCTTTTGTGCAAGAGACTTTCCGATTCCAAGCGTGCCATTCGTTCTGCGCGTCGTATCCGGCGAAAGACCTCACCGGGGCATTGAGTTAAGGATTACCGCAATGATGTATACATGTCGAAATGCTTCTCCCCGCGAATATTCACGCTAACAGTATCTTTCTCTCGGATTCCCCCGATATATCGGCCGATTGGTAACGGATGATTACGGTTTCGTGCAAAAAAAAGAAAAAAAAAACAACTTGTGCAACAGCTGCACAATTGTGGATCATAGCAGTCATACGATCGCGTTGCACGCGCGATGACAATCGTTAACTGTCGGGATGTCTGCTCGCACTGTCGCAACCGTAGGTGTTTTATCTTTCCACAATACTTTCCTTATCAAATATCCCATTTATATCGATTAAAATATCTGAACAATTGTGAAGACCGATTCTAAACAGCGTCGCTTCAAAAATTATCATGAGATAATGTAAGAGTGTTGAAGCAAACGGAATATATTTTTCACATGAATAAATATGGCTTGTAATATTTTCGGTACAATAATTGGATTGCTGGTGTACATCCTACGTACGGTGAAAAAAAAAGAACATGCGCCAGTGCTTAAAGAGTTCGATGCGAACGGGAACACGACTACTCGAGCACTTTCCACTCGGGGAAATTGGAAGTAGAAAGGATTCCGCGGATTAGTCACGAGACACGGGACAGACAGCCTGCATGATCGTCAAACTAGAACGGGATGCGAATAGTCGATAAACTGCGGTTTACCAACCCACGTCGATGGAGATAGCGTCTCTCACGCGCGTGTTCTACAAAGTAAATTGCGAATATGTGTGCGTGTAATCACGGGAACGACGAAAGAGCATAACACGTTGTTCATCGTAATTTTATTAGAAAATCGTCATTACAAAAGTTCTCATTTGCTTTCAGAAAATAAACGTTTAACGTCTAAACGAGACAAACGTTCAGAAGATGTTTAATATCTGATCTGAATTATAAAAACAAACAGAAAATAATTGAATTCGCAGGCAATAAATTTCTCGGATTTACACGAAACGCATTTAAAATTTGTTGCCAGTTTTAGATATAACATATTTTTTTTCTCATTAATTAATAATTTTAAATTCAGTAAGTTTCAGATATAAGAGAAGGAAAGTTGATTTAGCTTTCTAGACGCCATTCAACACGCATAAAGTCTCACATCAAAGTAAATACGATGTATATCTTCATTGCTTGGTTCAGTGAATATTTCTACAATAGCATGATAAAACATATATGGCGCAGTTGATTAAATTACAATCACAATTATTAAGCATCACGCGCTGAATTTCTTTTTTTTGCGCGCAAAACAGGATTTACGTTAAGTAATACATGAGCGATACGTGTCGCTTTTCGCTAACTCGCTGCATTATAGAGCAATTATTCTGCATATGTTGCGAGATTCGTGATGTGCAATCATTGCGGCGCGAAATCCCGCAGAAAAAAAAAAGAAACGAGAGCTATATTTCCATCCACTCCGGGATTCACGAAGCGTGTGACGTGGAAGAAATCGCCATTGCAATTTGCCGCAACGATAACTTCGCCGTGCTGAATGGCTTTCTTTAGAAAACGCGACAATCCTCTTCAACCTATCAATTAGCGAGTTATTACGGCCAATTATGGGTACCTATCGTTTTTAAAACATGTGTACACGTTCTGCAGTCTCTGTTACTGGACATGATAGCGACATAATCATGGTATGATATAAAGCCACTTACCGCAATTTAATTTAATCGCAATATTGTAAAAACAGTTGTAAATTGAATATTTATGATTATATTACGATTAAATATGTATATAAGTAAGACAATTTTAGAAAAATTGTTATTAAAAAATATGTATTAATTAAAATACGGTAACGTATCTTTCTATATATTATAATTGCCGTGTCTTTGAACTCGTTTTTTTAACGATCAGGCAGCTTTTTAGTTCTTCGAAAAAAATCTTTTAATTGGAAAAATTATTCATCAATATGTAGCGCAACTTTCACTTCTCGAGGTTATTAGAAAAGCGTCTTATTATATCCTCCACACAATCCAGACCTGGCATCATCAAATTATGCATTAATTATTAAAAGTCTAAGAAAATCTGAACTGTGTGCAAGATATGGAAAACTGGTTTTCTAATAACAATGAACTCAAATCTGCGATGCATAACTAAATTTCCCAAAGAAAAACTTTTTCTCACAAGACACAAAAAAGTTGTCATTATTGAAAAAAAATTTGTTAATCCAAAATTTTTATTAATTGAAACTTTTGAATTTCCAAAATCGTCATCGTTCCAAACTAAAGCATAAACTTTTTGTCGCTCGTCCTTGATCGAAAGAATTACGTATAATTATAACTTGTGATGGAAAATAGCGCGAACACTTGAATATATTTAGCTCGCGTGGGTGTTACAAATGCTATATACGGTATCTTGTGTGCGTGGAAGGTAAATATATTCAAGTGGCTATCACAAATTACAATCGTAACGCTCTATCTCGCGCGGAATAAAGATCTAATCGACGGAAGAATAATCTCGTCTCGATACATTCATTAATGATGAATGATGGAAAAAAAAGGAAGAAAACGATCGCAACATATACAAGGATGAGTCAGGATTCTATTTTCTACCGGTGACGATGACAGAACGTGCGAACGCGGTATCCCAAGCCGCCTTCGAACTGTCAAACGAAGGAGTATAACAATAACAGTTAGTCCGCCGAGAGAAAATCTTTTTAGCGAACATTCACCCCGCTGCTTGCGCGCAACCGGTAACCCACTTTCATTGTGGTAACGTTTTCCAAGTATCTCCTAGACGATGAGAGAACTGCAGCATCCTAAAGGCGCAACGAGCATTTCGCATTATCGTATTCCATGTAAAGATCAAGAAAATTACAAGGTTCGCAAGTTAAGAGTCACTTTCGATTTAAATTACAAGATACTTTTTAATAATTTAACTTTTCAACTAATAATTAAATCTCCAGACATTGTTAATTACATTGTGAAAATGAATCACTTGAAACAAGTTACATGTGACTTGAGAAAAGTATTTTAAAATTTTATTAAATACATGTGCATTTTAAACGTAACATTAGAAATTTAATTAGGAAAAGCTTGGGAATTTAATTCTTAATTGCATTAAATATATACGTATTTAACAATCTGACGTAAAATTCGTTGAGGAGATTTAAACTTCAAAGGAGTTTTGAATTGAAGATATTAGTGCAATTTAGATTTCAAAAATAACAAAGATGTAATCGTTGCAAGTATATTAAGGTATTAACATCTATGCAAAGATAAAGGAAATGAACAATCCAACATTCAACATCGTTTGACAGATGACTTCCGTTTGTTGTAAATTAACAGAAAAACGATTACGAAATCCGAGAATAATTTGCGAGGAAGATGTGCATGCAGTTGTTAATTTGCGTGTGATTCACAGCAAATTGAGGGTATCGCGCGCGAGGATAGTCCTTGAAACAAGGATAAGTCTTAGTACAGGCTCTAAAATATGAGCGAACCATTTATTTTTAAATAATAAAGCATCGAAGAAGCCTTTTTTTAGCCGTGCATTATGAAATAATAAGAGATTAATGCCAAGGTGATTAAAATGCAAAAGATGAAAAAAAAGAACGATTATGTTCTTTAAATACACTTGAATTTCTCGCGATGGATAATGTATATGCAGGTGTATATAATTATGCTTGATAACAAATGGTTTTCTCGGAATCGAGTTCTACTAGTTAAATATAACTTTTATTTTCCATAATTCTTTTGTAATTAACGTCATCTGAAAATTCAGTTGCATTAAATACGCGAGTATTGAAAAAAAATCTAACATAAAATCGTGAGAATTTGTTCTTTTGGTGAAAGATTCTGCGATTTTTCGATCCCGATGGCAATATAACGATAATGAGCCACGATTCGCCTGCGATCTCGCCGGATTTCATTGACCTCGCGATGGCCGATTTTCGCCTTTAGACGACCGTTACACGAGAGCGTTCTTTTACCCGCGTTCTCGCGGCGTATACTTATATACCGATCCTACTTTCTACCTATCTGCCATAAGCGCGAATGGGAAACGGCGAGCGATCAAACGCGACGATGTCCGTCGGCTCGCGGTCGGGAAATGATCAATCTACCGGGTTTCACTCTTCGGGGAAAAAGCGTGTTCTGCCGATTCAAAGATGGATTTCGCAATCGGCGACAGCAAAAGTGTCGAACTATACGACACGATGCCTGAGATCGCACGGTGGTCTTGTTCCAATAAAAACGTATATAATTAATATAACGTAATTACAATTAATATGATATAATTATTTTATAATGATTGATATAATGTAACGATCTTCCCAAAATACACCAATTTAATTCATCAAAAAAAGCAATTATCCCGGTATGATCTATTATTCGGAGCCGCGACTCTGCGGATAAGCCGAGGTGATGTTACAGCATGTAGGCGAAAATATCAAATATCCATTGAATGCGTGAAAACGTCGTTAGGCTCGAGGAAATAATCCAATTTGAGAGAGCCAGTTTCTCATGAGCGAGAGAAATTGATTACCGACAAAAGAGAAAACATGTTGCGCGATTGAGCACGCCGCTTCCGCGATGTTCCACGATTGTTCGATGAATACTCGAGGCTTGTCTAACGGAAGTCAAATGTTAGCCGATGGAGTGTGTCGCGCATTTGCGAGCGATGTTAATAAAAGTAGACAGACAGTTTGAGAAATAAAATGTCGAGTAATAATAAATTAGGCATTTGTAACGAGCTGCATCAATAAATATTTACAAAATAGAAAAAATAAGGGAAATAAAACAGGCTTAAAACAGTTTTCAACAATATCAAGAAATTAAACAAATACAAGCCGAAGTGTCGAAGTTGGAACATAAAAAATCGATTCGTTAAATATACAAATGATTGAAGGATTGATCTATGCACGTCTCGTCATCGGTTAATCGATTTTGCGCGATTGGTCGCGATGATTGTTAACAAATTTGCAAACGCTCGCTCGCTCGGCGATCCGCGCTCGCAACCACAATCACACATATAAGGAACGCAACCCGAATTACGTAATTCCCCCTGATTGCGGTTCTCCTTGAACGCGCGGCTCCTGGCACCGCTTCGTGCGAGTTTCTTTGCGTTTCGTTTTCTACGCTTAATACTCACGGACGACCGAACAGTGGTGCGCGCACGCGCGCGCTCCTTATCCATTCTTTTTAGAATATCCATTCTTCACGGCGAGTTACTTTACTTTGCCGGAATTAATCGCGTCGGTTGTCCACGTATATCTGCACGTTCTCGCTGCTTCCCTTTCGTTCGCGTCGAGAGATCACATCGTGGTACCGCCGGATTTACGATGCATAAAAAAATTGTTTCTATGCCCGTCACGTGTTTCTTGTCAACCGTCAATCAGTCAGCTAGACACTACGAAAGATAATCTCACCGGGATTTATGGAATGGTTGTACTCTTGCGACAAAAGCTATAAGTGAAAGTATATGCACACCGGTTGTCATTTTTAGGGAGCACTTGTTATGATAATAAAGAGATTTGAAACTAAGACAAACCACGTGTAATATTCGAGATATTCACGCTTTTGTTCTCGTTGTGAATTTCATTTGATTTAATTCAATAAAAATTTAACAACATTTAATTCAGGCAAAAAGTTTTAAAATTTTTAATCTAATTAATCGCGTAAGAAAATAATGTACTAAAATTTTGATGCGAAACAAGCTAAGTTAATACGTGAATTATTAGAAGATGCTCCATGATAGTTAATAATCGTATAAAAATGACTTCTTCAACTGTAACGTTGCCTCGTCAATACTATCACTGTCACGCAAAACGACTGTAACAATCGCTTTGTCTGCATATATCCTTGAAATTAAACCTTGAATCTCGCATAAGTAGAAGCAGTTGTAAGCGAAACACGGATTATAGAGATCCAAGATTTTACTATAGCTTTTGCTATTCAAATTACACCATGCCATTCCTGAGCAGGAATTAAAATCGACACAATATCAACAAATGAAAGAAATGCTTGGAAATGCACGGAAATCATATTTTTCACCGCAAAACACCGTTTAAAACACTGTCAATAAACATATATTTTCGACTGAACGGATTTTGACTGATCTGAAATCGATCAATGATACCATTGAATCTGTTATTGAATTACTAAAAGCATGATCAAAATCCCCGGATTTATTCAGTCGAAAACGCCGATAGAAAATATTTTCACACATCGAAATTTCCGAATACTTCAATATTATAAGTTTTTCGTCATTTCTTCGCTTTAATAGACAGCAAAATATAAACTAAATAACGTAAAAATATGAACAAATTAATTGCCTGCCGTGAAATCTATGAATTTTCAGCTGGAAAAAAGTATTTTCAATTATTTCTCTTGAGTATCCAAGAGCTGCTGTACTCGCTTTACATAAGTTCGTTCGCAATTTCTCCGCGCTCAAGACGTGCGAGTCGACACGATATCGTCGTCGCGTGCAGCATAGTAAAAGTTCAACGATAATAATTCAATGGGCGTCCGCAGGATTTCCCATCGAAACCCCGGTGTTTCTATAATGAACGCGCCCGATCGTGCGTGACGTCGCCCAAACGATTGACAAGTATTTCGCTGAGTGATACTTTCTCACAAATTTCGTGCGACAGCGGAAATATTTTTTATTACGCGCTGACGATTCCCTACGTCGGCAGAAATCGTAATTTGCGTGACAATTCAAGCGGGCGCGTTGCCAGACACCACACGCGCCTCCCTTCTTTCGTCTCTCTGTTCATCTCTCTTGACGAGGTGCATAAGAATATGATTGTAAAAATAACTCTACGCTTTCTAAATTTCTGACATTTTATGCTTATTCATTCATTAGCATCTGACCGTTCGTAATTTCCACCGGGCGTTAGTACGATGCGTTTAACTTTCTCTGTTGGATGCGCCGGGATTGACAAATTTCGCGAGTGTTTATCTCCCGGTATTGCATAATGTATAAAAACAAAAACAGTCATAGAAACGGCAAGTAGCACTTATTATGAACAAAAACTATTCGCTTGATAATTTTCCGAGAAGTCATTTGCTTACGTGTGACAGCTAGAAGGAAGCGGTAAAATTTATTCTATTTGCTAGAAAATTAACTGCCTATATTCATTCTGTTGTGATCATTTTTGCATGACTCGCAGATTTATTAACACTGAAATTAAAATGAACGCTTTGTAGAGCTGCAGTCAATAATTATCACGCGCAATTTTTACTCGCAAGTCGCGCGCGTGGCGTTTAACTTTGCAGTTACCACCCGAAGAAGATTTCGTGCGCTGTACATTCGTTGCACGTATTCTTCGTGTTCATTATAGTACAAGCTAACAATTTATCTCTTATTAACTTCTGGATTGAAACGCTATTTTTTCGGACATCAATATTATGTGCTTGTTAATAAACAGAATTTCTCTACGGATTCTTGCTGCAGTAATCGATTCGTGAACTGTCGATAAATGTCTACAGAGCTGCGAATCGTATTTTGCGGTCGAAAGATTCGTGATAAATCTCGGTATCCGTGTTGGTAATCGAATACCACAGAGATGGGCGTGACAACGATAGATCGAGCACAATCCTTTCTTTCCAGCGAACGCCGTGAGAAGCGATCCCGCTCGCTTTGTCTTCTCGCTAATAAAACCGATGAATGTAATAATCGGCATTGTTCGAATTGCAGTACATTTATCAAAAAAGCATGCGATCAATCGATTCACTGTAGCGCAGAAATTTAATTCAACGGCATGTGAACGCTCTAAATGAGAAATACTCGTGAGAAATCACGTTTTACATAAAATTTGAGAAAAAGATTGAGTCTTTGAATTTTCCATGCGTTTGAACGAAGTCCTAAAAAAGATCGAAAGGACATTCGGTGCAAATTTATTATCTACGTAAGTGTCTCAATGCCAACTTATTCGCGTCGTATTAATATTCTCGCAAATTTCCGAATTCATTTATTCGCCGCTTACAAAAGCAAATTTGCGTTTTTATCACGAGCGCGAAGGCAGGCGTTAATTATATTAGCGGTGTCGCACTAACGTTTCTCTTTCTCACTTTCGATCGTAAAGAGTTAAAGCGCGGGCCTGAAGTCGTGAGTATAGACTTCACGGCGACTGTTCGGCGTTGCGAGCGCCGTCGAACGTCGTCGTGACGTGGAAACTTAGAAATCTCCGTGGAAACCATCACCGTGAACGTAACGAGCTGAAAGCTGCATCGTCGGCTCTGTTTTTACGCCGAACGATGAAGTTTGATCCGCTTATAACAATTAAATGAGAAATCTAACACCACCGATACGGGCACCGTCACTTTCCCTGCTACGAAAAGTTAGCAGGACCGCCAGCGCGATTTCTCCGCAACGACTGCCATCAAGATGATGGTCGTTATCTCGTCGTTATAATCGCGTCTGCATTTTTCGGAAACAGCGGATAGCAATATTTCATTTTTATTTTTTTTTTATCCTACATACACACTCTTTTCGCGTACTTACCTTGAGCTCGCTTTAATCAAACGCTGCGATCGCCAAGTAAAATGATAATTTGCTGATAACGCGCTTTTGGTTAATTTCCATTATTATTAATATAAAAAAAATTCCCAATATGCCTTTTCCCTTGCAAAGGAATATTATAAATATTATAAAATTCTTACCTGTATCAGAGCCTCCGGCTGCAAATGCTTCAGGAATTCACCCTGCGGCTGATACACTCCAGCATGTCGTTGCTGTTTGAACTTCAACTCGGCCTGCATAGCCGCGATCGATTCCGGCGTGCAGGAGGCTCTGGCCTGAACCCAGGAAGCCGCCAGGATGAAGCTGCCGAGCACTATGGACATCGTGATCAGAGTGATGGCGGCGATTCTCGCGATCTGAACCGCTGTGCTCTTCGTCGGCGGTCTCATATATGCCTGTAAAAAAAAAATTGTATCGTTTACGAAAAATTATCGGAGAAATAAGCGGCAAGGTTTTCGAATCGAGTTTCTCGAGCTTTTTCAAAATTTTCCAATCTTTATTTTCTTCCCGCTTTTGATGTTATAACCAGCTCTAAACGCGACAATAGCAGAGACGACACCAAAGGAGAGCGTGAGGCGACAAAAGGCCTCGACTCGGTTGGTTAACCAGCGTGAAGTCCCGCGTGTCCCATTGTATATGTGAGAAGAGTGCCATATTACCGCTCTGTGACAAGTGCAATGCAGACACACATATGCATACGTATTATTTCCACTTGTCTGTATGTGTGGCTGCATGTGAATACGGATACAAATCGCGCTTTATCGCAAATTCCCGTGCCAGTTACACCCATGAAAGAGAAGAGAGGATATAATTGTGTAAAATCTCTCGAGTATGCTAATGTGCGCTTCGTTTATTCGGCAGAATTCTCTCTTTCTCTCTCTCTTTGAGCAAAATGTGAAAACGTAAACTACCATTTTCCTCGGTTATGTAATAGCGGATTAATAGCCGAGTTTGCCGGATGTATAAAAATTTAGAAATGCAACATAAACTGATGGAAGCTGTAAAGAAAACCGAGAAATGGAGACGAATAAAAAATTATATAACAAAATTTATCGCACATGATAAATCACAGATGCATAACGTCTTCGGAATATCGAAGTTGTAAATTATAGTGCCGCGTATTTTGAAAATTTAGTGAAAATATATTTCCATCAATTTATCTCTATTAACTTTCAGTCGTATATACGTGAAAAAAAATATTCATAAATAAAATAAAAATTAAATATTACACTCGCGAGAGAAATGCATATTTAATAAGACAATAATATCTAATGTGACCATCGTCAGCCGATAAATTTATGTGTCGCGGTCGAGAGAGCAAGTTGTATGTATATATATATATATATATATATATATATCTATAACGATCTGGCTAAAAATAAATCACTGCGTCGCCATTTAACTCTACCGAGAGCCTTGATAGCAACAAGCACAATAAAAGATATTTAATACGTGCTAACTGTATCTTGACATTATTATAGCGTTGCTTGCATCCATTTCAAAACTGACTTCGTAGATTATGCGTGTGTATTCTCCGCCGTTTTTCGCACAAACTCGGATAGCGTCCAATCTTCGCATTATGTAATTATGTTATTTTATGTATTCAAGATGTATATTAACGTAATGCCACACATTAATTTCGGAGCAAAAAGTATATTTCTCACTCTATCCGCCTCTTTAAGCGGAATAATTCCGCGTCAAATATCTTTTTGTTAAAATCAAATCAATTGTTAATTTTGGATAATCTCTGTGAGATAAATAATTTGGATAATCTCTGTAGGATAAGAGTTTCTCTCTATGCGGAGACTTGCATTACGGACTGTACTCGTACGTACAATTCGTAATGACCTCGATGTGGATGGACGACTCGGGTGAGAGGCTTCCAAGAGATAGTAGGCCATCCGAGACTGGCTTTATGCCGGCGCGATTTGCCTGACAAAAGTAAACAGGCACCGTTGCCAGGCACAAAAAAAAAGTAACATTTATCATTTGAAACGAATTTCTTGGCCTGCTCGCCGTTCGTAAGTCATTGACACCCACAGCAGTCCGTGGAAAACGTTCCGGAACAATGCCCGTCAATGCGAACTGAATCAAGAAAAACCGCTAAAGAAAACAATCTTTTGTAGTCTGTAGACTTTGTTGAAAACCAGTGGTAAAAAGTGTAATTAAAATTATAGCAATTTTGTCAACAATATTATACGATTCGGCAAATAAATGTTTTATTCGATTAATAAAAGGCAGTCTCGAGACGCACTGGAAAATTACTAGAACGTCTGGAAAATTAATTGAAGGTGATAATCATTCTCAAACACTGTAATTCTATCGTCACGTGATCAACATGTGATTTGAGACGATCGATAACGTTTTGCACTTTCTCTCTAATATGCATACCGGTGCACGATGAAGGCTTCACGCTTGGAATTAACGAATGAAAGCATCGTTCCAAGCTCATTATTAGCCTCTTTAAAGCGTTGAACGCTCGCGAACATTTCTTTTGTTTTACATTCGAATCTATATTGCACGAGAAACGTAAGAAAACCATATTATATACCATTTTGACGTCTAAGTTTGTATTATCTAAATATCACATATTTTAATTTCCAACTTTCTCCAAGATTGAATCTTCTCCGTTTTTTCTCAATTTCCATGTATCTATTTAATGCATGCATCAATCTCTTCAAGAAAGTTATTATAATTATTATTGTCGCTTAAGAAATTCTTTTCAATTTTATAAATCAAATATCCTTGTCTAAAATGAGCGAGTCGAGAAATATAATAAGCGTTACATCAATGAATGTGCATAATAAATAAACATTAATTGTCGATAAATTCTTGTCAGAAGAAGCAATTAAGAATGACCAAAAATATCCAGCTCGATTCTTGTATTCTTCCATAACCATCTAAAGTAAGTTTATTTCGCCTTATGTAAGCGCTTTCGTCATTTCCCACTCGTGTGTGTGAACAAATAAATGCCGATAATGCGCAAAAAAAGCAAAAAATACACGGATATGTCCGGGGACAAATATTCTCTTGTTCAAGCGTTTTATTTGCAAGTTAAATGGATAAGTAATGTATGAATAAGTTACGGCAATTAGAAAAAACGATTACAGTTTTACGTCACATTTTAAATATGTAAGATATTGTGCGAATATCTTTGGATTAAAAAATTTTAAATATATAAAAAATTATAAACATATGATCACTAATTGCAAACAATTTTATATTTAAATTTAATGATTGACTATCATCCTGTGCATTGTAAATAGATAGAAATGTTGTAGTAATATATACAATTATTTATATTATGTGCTACAAAATGATGCAGTGATGGTGCTAAGATGCAAAAGAAAACTTCGTAATAAAAAAAAGCAAAATGTGATTGAATTGTGTTAATACGTAATACTATTCGTGTTATTTTAATTTAAACGTAATTAAATAAAAACATTTTGTGAATATAGATCTACTTTCATGCCGGCGATACGCGTGGCAGAGCAATCATTGTGCTGATCGCGTAGGCGGAAATGACCTCCTGATTCATGGAGGAGAGACTTGAGCTTATAAAAAATAAGGTAACATAATTTCCTTGTAACATATTACGGTATTACTGATGCAAATTCCTCCATGCTTATGTAGTATTACAAATAAAAATATGTATATGCTTAGGTACATATTATTTTAGACGTGCGTTGAAATCTCCAGAAAGTTCGACGCGCAACGCCACGTTGATCGCAGCGAAATTGTAAATTATAATTGCAAATTGCAAAACAATTCTTATTTAATAATAAAGATTTACGGAAATTTTTTTACTTTGCTTGCCGATTATTTGCATTTACATATTACAAAATTTGTCATTGACATAAATTGTATTTCGTATCAATATTGCGCGTAAATGTAAATGTTCACATATTACAAAACAATGAAAAGAAAAATAGTCAACGTTAAATTTGGCGTTCAAGGCCCCGAGTTCACAAACACGGCACGAATGAGACGCACGTCATTGCATCGACAAAACGAGTTTTGAAAGTGTCGTTTCTCTTTTCGTATCTAACTTTTTCGTTTTTTATAAATGCCGTCCCACGCAATAAAGAAGTATTTTTTTCTTTTTGTTAGCATCTGCTTTGAATAGAAAAGTGTGTTCTATCTGACTTAAACGTTGACAGAAAAGCAAATTGCTTATATCCTTCATTATTTCATGTTATTTTGTCTTGTAATTTAATGCTTAAAATGTTTTAATAGACAGATTAAAATGTAGATATATCTATATTTTATAACAAAAGTTTTTATATTGAAATATTTGTTTATACCAAATAATTATCTCTGCAAATTTATGTCAATAGATTCTAAATTATTAAACTTTTTCACTGCTAAAATAAAATATTAATCTGGATATTGAAATTATAACTTTTTCTTAATTTTTTTGTATGATTTGCATATTTGCGATAATAGGATGACAGACAAAAGAAAAAATTCTCAGATAGGACACGCTTCATTTACGTTTTTTATACGACGCTCTTTCTTCAACTCTCACATTAGTTAATTAAGTTTCCATTTTTAATGGCGATAATTTGCGTTTTTTACGGCAAAGCATACATGTTTTGTAGATTTTTTTTTCTTATAAATACCAAGAATTAAACACTTGTTTCTTTCATTACTGTAGTTAAATTCTCGTTAGTGAACAGAACGCTCACGATTTTCGTGTATTATCTTGTATAGAGTACTTTTTAATTTTTTTTCATCTCCTGTCTTTTTGCAATCTGCATTTTCTTGTCTTATGTAACTAGGTTTTTCTATACCCATTCCTAATTATTTTTTAATTTTGTCAAAAAAAACTAAGTTTTTCAGTAGGTAAAAACATATACGGATAAAAAATACATTTTACATAAGTGCGAAATAATAGAAAGATATAGAATATTCTTTCGTGACAGGAAATATAGAGAAATATTTGTTTCAAATTTCTATTTTTGTTTCAACCGATGGCAACATGTATTTATTAATTTAGCTGTTTTTTTAAAATTGTTATTAATTACGGTTGATTATCTTTAATTTGTTTTATGAGAGAGGTGATTAAATCAACAAATAGACAATCGCGATTCGAGTGTAATTGCGGATTTCGCGCAATTATATTATAAAACAACTTTCACGGAAGTATACGGGTTCTGTACCCTTTTTGCGTGTACCATTTTTTAATTAAGTATCTTAGAATTTCCACGAACTATATCATTTTTAAGATAGCGCTCTAAATTATGTTCTTCAATTGTGCCAATTAATTGCGAGTAGATTTTCCTGCGTTAAAGTTACGGTTTTGCAAAGATATTGTATATATTTCGAAATTGTCAAAAAATAAACGATAATATTGTAAAGAAATGATATTCCGTAATATCTGTTTACATTGTCTTAGAGGTCATTTTTTACGCGAACAATCATAATGATTAAAAAAATTACAGACTATTTATCATATTTCACGCTGTATTAAACTGTATCTTCTATTCTAAGACTTTTTTCCGCGTCTTATTAGCGCATTTTCTAGAAAAGTCGTATTATTCGCTGAATATTATTTTATTGACATCGACTCTCTGTCCTTCGGAGATTCTTCGATATGTTTCTTTACGTAAATCGTTAGTCGATTAAATCTTGCATATTATCTATATAATTCTGCGAAATGCATGCCGTGCGTGTATCCTTGCAGCGACTATGCGATCGTATTATCCGACAGTGACCCTATTTGCAAACAATTAAATTTCATTTGTCGAGCTCGAAGCGCGAGCTCGAAGGGTCCCGCGGGTGCATTACGCAACCCCGGCGATATCAATCGGCGAAATGCTATATTTGCATTCCACTTGCACTCGCATATCGACTTACCGATTCGAATCATGGCCGACGCAAAATAATAGCCGAGGGATTTATGCGTATCACGTAACACTCTCTCATAGCATTACTTCGAATTAATGACGCGGAATCGTTTGCATGCTTCTTTTCCAAGAGAAATACACAATACTACGAGCGTGGTAACAGAAAATTTTCTATAAATATTCAGTTTGAAGGACGTTCCCACAATATTCACATCTTTTATTCAATATGACAAATATGCATAAAAACGCATATGATGAAAAATATATACTTTTAAGAAATCTCCTTTATTAAGACCTGCTTTCTTTCCACGCCAAATTCCCAAGTTATTTTGGATACGCTGCAGCACGCTTTGCATGCCAAGAAGTTAATTACATCCATGAGAACACAGGCCGCGAATAAGAAGCCATCCGATTGCCATTACCAACGATAATGACAGAGGCGTAATTATGCGAAGAGTTGTGTGGACCCCATCTCGCAAACAAAGAACATCATGAAAGATTCGCGAGGAATTCTTTTGTCGCGACTTTCTCATCATCGGCCGATGTCCAATTACGAATGTCAATTTTCAAATTGCAATTATTTGCATTCTGCCATTAAGTACGCGCTATTTTTCTATTTAAGTTCTTCTATTAATACTAATCACACGTGTGTAAAAATTATTCGTCGCTCTAATCATCGTAATTGCGATTTAATGAACTATTTCATATAAAAGTTAACATAATTATTTTATATTATTTATATATAGCAGCCGTAAAAAAAATGAGTTATTCTTTAAATATAATTGCGGTTATACTTATTTGAAAGTACAATGAGTAAAAGGAAATAATTAGCGTAAAAAATGATAATTTTTATCATCTTAAAAACACTATTCTGTAAGCAATGTATGACTTTAAAAGATATTATTTCGTTTTTTATGTAGGACGACATTAATTTTATTTTTTGAAATAGTAATGTTTTATAGAAGCAATAAAATTTGCGCGATAATTTTTCTTCACTACACATTTATCTAACTTTGCGAATCATCGTAAAAATTCTCTAAAAACTTACATTTATTAATATAAGCAATATTTAAAATTTGCATAAATTTATGCAAAATTTTAAATACGACTAGATATAATTTCTGTATTTTCGAAAAATTAGTTTTAAATGTTTTCTGAATATTTTAATGTAAAAGGAAAAAAATAAACTGATCGTTAATGAATTATTCAACAAAAGACCATCATATTGTGTTTGTGTTATTTGACAGTATTTTTTAGCGTAATTTAGCCATTGAGCTAGTTTGCTTACGATAATCTTTAACAAGTGCGTAGTTTACAGTCAATTTGCCAATGCCAAAATACGCATGTGAAATTTGAAATTATCGAAAGCATAGAATATTCCAAACTCTAGCGGATCATCGATTTCATCCATGGATTCTTCGATTAAGCAAAACAATTTTACGGATTTTTAAGGAAAGTTACAAAGAGATTGAAAGTTCGAATATTTTTTCGAGCTCTTCTTTCGCAAAAGGAAAAGTTGTCAAGGACTCAACAGATGAGGAATAATCCGCTATGGATGTAAAGCGTTTATGATTCATATATCAAGACTTACCGGTGGCGGTTCCGCGGTGGAGTAGACTTCGCTGGGCGCGTAGTGGCTGTGGGTCTGCGGCATCTTCTCCGAGACAACGGCGACCGTCGCCAGGGAGTCCGGCTGTTCCTTCTCCATCGTTCCTTTTTCGACGTTAGTCCACGTAGCACAAGACGGCCGAACGGTCAAATGACCCCGTCAATCTCTCACTTCTCGTCTCTTCGTCTTCCTGACTGCCGACTGACGGTCTCCTGGACGTTGTGACGGACGATTTTAAAAACTCTCTCGCTGCTCCGGTACCAACCCGGTTGTCGATGGCTCGACGGGTCGACGAGCAGTGAGCGTCGAGGAAGCGCCAACACCGCTAGCTTAGAGGCATCCCCACCTAAGCCGTTGGCGTGTGCACTACCTTTGGCTACGTCGCCTTCTGGTACCAAGGTGTACCTTCGCGTTGCCCGCCGATGGTGTGGCGTTCTCGTTGCCGGACTTTCTAAACACCGTGTGTGTGCGAGCACGCGTGAGTGAACGTGTTCGCTGTTATATACATCACGATGCGCTCCGCTCCGCTGTATGTGGGCGCACCGCGATTGACACTGGTTTTGCAACATTTTTATCGCGCTCTTTCTCGATTTGAAGATATCGCGAGATAGATATAACGGAGTGAAAAAGACGAGAAATTTATTTATGCAAATGCCGCACACGTGACTGACCGATTTGGGATAAAAATCGCAAGAGAGATAAAATAAAGCGAAAAAGGCAGAAAATTTATTTGATGTAAATGCTTTACACACTCACACATACGAAAATGCGTATTTTTTAATTATAAATATTTTTATCTATAAATATTTTTATCTTCTAATCCGATTTAAACGTTAACTAAAATGTTTGATTTAAATAAAATTTAATTGAATTTCTTAATTGTTATTTATCTACTTTTTATTTGTTACATTTTTATTATTTATCTTATACTCCCAGTTCTTATGTTTTCAGCATTTCATATATATGCTTTCGATAATATAATTTTTAATAATAAATTACTTGTGTTGGGCTAAGTTGCTCGTATATGAAAGATCTTGCGATGAGCAACATTTTCCACGAGGAGCAATGATCGCGTACAAAATCGGCCTCTGTGTAGTTCGCTACGTACAGGAAGTAACGACCGGAGAAGGCGAAGAAGTTGATATTACAACGGTATTATATAGTAGACCGTATGTCTATGTACTTATGTGGCAATGAACAGAGAGTTGGCGGGAGAAACGACACGGAGAAAGCATCGAAGCTTCTTCGTCCGCAATAATAATAATAATACTTAATTACCAGTCGGTGGGAGCAGAATTTGATATAAAAATAACGAGAATTTGCATTTTTCATATAAAAAAGGATTTTCATAAAAATAATATTTATAACAATTATTTGTGGTACATAGCTATCTAAAATTCGTCTTTGTGATCTGTGTAATGAAATTTTTCAAATTTAGTTTAATAGAATATGTGTCTTTTCTTAAGAAAACAAAATCAACATATAAATAAAGATGTTTTTCCACTTTAATAAGCCAATAAAATATTTAAAAAATATTTCTTTTTCTTAAAATAATTTTAATAATTCTAAATAAACAGAGACATTTAGATTTAAGAATTAATTATCGAAATACTCAATGTTGAGCACCGACTAATCGTGACATTTAGAAATGTTTTTAATGTAATGAGATGAAAAATTATGCAATATTATCGCGCGATGATATTCCGATGTTTTCCGATTGCATAAACAAATCAATGTCCTCACGAATAAATCTTCCTCGATTTATCTCTTAAGCGAGTATTATGAACAAAAGAGAGAAGCGCGCGAGACATTTATAAGTAGACTGGTAAATGCTCGTACGAGCTGTGTGACGAACGGATCGCGGAGAAAGTAGGAAATGTACTCCCACCGACAAGTAGACACGTGAGGTCGCGTTGTAAACCGTCGCTTGTTCGTCGCATATGGTAACTCGTGAAAAAAGTATATATACGTTAATGTGCGCACTGCAAATATATTCTAAATGACGCGATCGTTGAAGAAAGAATCAGAGGAAATTCAATAATGTCGAAATAAATTTAAACATGTATTAATCACGTCACGTGCAATAAATTTTCTCTTTACCAATTAATTCTTCCAATTCGATTCAATAAAAAAAAATGCATATTCGTAAATATGAGTGTGTAGATTGTCTAATCATTTAAAAATCTATATTCTGTACTTTTACGCTTTACCTGAGTCTTGCTAATTAATTATGCATTACAAGAGGCGATCGTGTTCTTAAGATTCTTAAACGTATAGAAGTGATTTAATCACACGTATATATTACTTATTCCTGCGATTATGTACACGCAACAATTATCCTTGCCAGCAGCACATACGAAGCACTTCAACTGGATCAACAATTTGCACGTGGAGCTAAAAATTATTTTTGCTCGCAGGAAAAAAACTTGTAAGAACGTAGTTCGATAAACGTTTTACACCGGATATGCGAGCTTTCACTTGATTTTCAAATAAAAGCATTATTTCTGTAACTCGATCATTGCGGTATAGATTACTGATGGACTAGTTACAATATAAGAACATTATACATTTTCCAGTTACTTTTACTAATTTAGTTATTCATGTTTTATGATTTGTTTGTATAATATAATCTTTCATTTAATTATTTTTTTATGCATGCAAAAAACGCTTATTTTTCTAAATATATAGGTTATGTCGGATGCATAATTTATTTTTTATTTACCTGCTAAACGAGCATTTTTGTAGGCATTTGCTGTCACTACTGGTAAAATAAGCGGTCCCAAAGTAGCTGTCATCTTTCTGAATGATAAAAAATGAGATAATGCAGGCATAATATGTAGAGACACATTACAAGCCATTTTGTCGCGTGAAAGAACCACTGCTGAAAAATATGTTTTCTCCATACGCGGGTAGAGAATCATATGTCAGTGCATAAAGCGCATTATCATGCCCCAACTTAGAATCTTCCGATCCTTTCTGTATATAACGTATCGTAAATGGATAGCCGTTCACGATATTCGCTTTCTCCGACAGTGATGTAGACGTCGCGCTGGCGTATTTTCAAGGCATTCTTTCTTTCATCGCGCTCAAGTTATTCTCTAAAAAATGAATGAAGCAAATTATTCAAAATATACTTTCAATATCTAAGATTAATTGCCAAAATTGCAATTATCTTGAATAAATTAATTTGATTATCGAAAATCAACGAATGATTAAGTCGGATATTAGTTAAAACTACACACCTGCGTAGAGAAAACTGTTACTATCAACTTCTCAATCAATATCCACGACGATCGATGATCTATATACATTGTCACAGAAGTGACATAAATTTTGCGTTTTTCTCAAGATATTAAATAATGAAGTAGAATAATAGAGTTTTTTTCTTTATTAATATTCTGTTCTTATTATAACTCGCACTGAACTATGAAATGAAATTATACGTTTGAAAATTGTTTAGAGCATGAATCGTGTATAATACATAGATTACACACTGTAGTGAAAATTACAAATATGAGCATATCACTAGACTGTTGACCAATGAAGTCATTGGATTGGTTCTAGTAAATTTGTTCGTAAATCTAATTTTTCTAAAACGTTTTGCTCAGTAAGCGCTCATTGATCAGTGCGCAATTGTATTTTTAAACATAACCTATAAATATCGCGTGTTGTATAGTGTGGTGTTTATTAAATGATATCAAACTAGTTTTATAACTTATATAAAAATTACACGCATATTTTTCTATTTATTATATTTTTTGCATTTTTTTTCATGTTTTTTATTTATATTGCAATTGTAATGTTGTTATTAATATATCTATGAATTCAAATAATCCTGAATTTCTTAAGCAAGTGTTAATCTGAAATGATTAACACGTGACATCAATTTCTGTCATTAAATAATGGTATGGTTTATAATTATATTAAATGTGTATAGTATAAGTTTTAATTTATATAGATGTGCTTATTTCTCGTGAACTATAAAAAATTATTTACCACCCTAATTATAAAATATTGTGAATAAAAGATATGACAGTCTATATAACATAATATTTAATAATGAATAATAACTAAATGACTGTAAGAAGAACAATGTTGTGTTATAAAGATATATAATTATAATGTATAAATTTTACTTTTTTCTCACAAATCAACATTTTATGAGATATTTTAGTAAATTATCAATTGCTCCAAATCTAAATTTATTCAAAGTTCTAATGCAGTCAGTTCACTTAAATAAAAATGTATTGTGTCAATCAAGAACTGCCCAGAACTTAAATATCAAGAGTTTAGAATTTGAAAACTACTGTACATAAAATACTTCTGCCTTTGATGAAGATATGATGAATATCATATATATATGTTGAAATTTTATGTATTATATTGTTTACTTTATGCACAGATTACAGATTGTCTCAATATAACCTACATAAAAACATTATAACAAAATTATGAAGGAACTCGGAACAAAACAATTACAAAGACTGGAGAAAAAGAAAGCAAAAATGGCAGCATTTTTGGAAATTGCAAAACTCAATGACAGAGATAAGGAATCAAAATTAAAGGCTTTGAAACAAGTTTGTATTTAAGTTTAAAAATAATGTAAAGTAAGATTTTTGCAATTAGTACTAAGTACATTTCTAGGCTACAAGCACCACTGATAAATTTAGTAATCGAAATAATTCTAATGTGGAAGAAAATTTAAATCGCAAACGAACTTGTAACAAGGATTCAGATGATACTTGTCTAAAAACTAGTAAAGAAGAGAAAAATCCCAATGAGACAGAATCACAGGTTGACAATAAAAAACCTAGGTAATTCAATTATGAACTTTATATACTTTATATATTATGAGCTATTATATACATAATATTGGATGCAATTTTTTTATCTAGATTAACTGACTCTGAAGAATATGCAAATTTAAAAGAAGAACTTAGGAAACGCAAAAAGAAACTCCAAGCAATTCCAAGACTTACTCTTAAAGCAGTTGGTGAAAATGCTACTTTAGACATTGCAAAAATAGGAAAGAGAATACCAATATTTCTCAGTGATGTACAGCATCTTCTGCTATATTCACTGCTTGGACATCATTCTCCCTACTTACCAGCAAGGTGGTGTCAACTTGAGAAGTATAACAAAGTAATGATTGATATTATAGTATCATATCTTAAACTGATATTTTATTATAGAGCCAATCCTAAATCACAGTGACTAAAAATCATCATTATCATTTATTAATCATTAATTCAATGACTAAAAATAAACAATTTTCTCTAAAGGTAAGCCACACAGTAGTTTTTGTGGTCGAAGGCTTATCAGCATATCATTTCACAGCTTATGAGAGTATGTTTCCACACATAGTAAAAAATTTAAATCATCGTTTAGAAGTGGTAACACCTACCGTCTATGGAGCATCCATAACAGAAGAACTTGCAGCTGTTCCTTTAACAGGAACTCAAAGTGATAAATTAATAAAACGTATGTATAATTGTGTATCATATAATATATATAATAATATTAATATTATATTTGTGTATGTAAAAGATCTTCTGATGTATCTTAAATTTATTCAATTTTAAATTTATTTAATTAAGTAAATATTGTAGCTGAATGCTACAAATTATTTTCAAAAACTGCAAAACTATTTTTATGAAATGAATAAAAAACAATTGTTAATTTTTAGGATATGGTTCTTTGGAAACTGCTTTGCAAACAAATGGAGATGTCATAAAGTTATTAAGAAGTGCCTTTCCTGTGCATTCGACAAATAATAATGCAAAATCTGTAAAGAATAATTCTAATGAAAATTTACCACCTACTGACAAGTTTTGCAGAACAAAATTGCTTTTATCACTATGGCAAATGATAGAAGAAAATTATCCTGTACCATTAAAAGGGACATTAGCAGAAAGGTAAAGTTTTTTCATTATATAGACGTAATTTTGGTTATATCACAAAGAATAGAAGTGTAATCTTTACAACATAAACGGATGCATTTTAGATACGGTTCATACATATTGACAAAGGATGCTTATGAAGAGGCCACATCATCATCGCCAATGTTCAGTTTAGATTGTGAAATGTGTCTCACGACAAGTGGCAATCTAGAACTTACCAGAATTAGTATAGTGGATGAAAGTATGAATGTAAGTACAACTGTAAAGTACTTATGTATTAAGAAAAAGTGTGTACACGCAAATCCATCTTAATTTTTATCACAGATCGTGTATGATAGTTTGGTTAAACCTGAAAATCCAATAACAAATTATTTGACACGGTACAGTGGCATCACCAAGGAGATGCTGAATGATGTTACAGTTACACTGCACGATGTTCAACAAGTCTTGAGAACATTACTTCCTCCAGACGCAATTCTTGTAGGCCAAAGTTTAAATTCTGATTTACACACATTAAAAATGATGCACCCTTATATTATCGATACTTCTATAATATTCAATCTCACTGGAGACAGGTACTATAGAATATCAAAGATATTAATATTATAGGACACAAATTTTGCATTTGATGTTTAATTAATATTATTTAATACAGGTATAGGAAAACAAAATTGCAGATTTTAGCGCGTGAGTTTCTTGGGGAGGTCATTCAAAATAGTAAAGCTGGACACTGTTCGACAGAGGATTCAATGGCTTCTATGAAATTGGTCAAGTTAAAATTAGCTAATAGCGTGGATTACGGGGATGCGGTGTTGCTTGGTGGCCGCGATATGAAAATTTTAAAAATGGAAATGGATGAAGGAAAGATGTCACAGCGGGCGTTGCAAAAAACAGAAATAAAGAAATACGCTACATCGATATTTAGCCACATAACGAAAAATAAAAACACAGCTGCCATCATAGGCCGCGATGAAATAATATCAGAATATTCCAAATATTTACAAAATTCTTCTCTTAATATCATGGATGATGAAAGTTTCGCAAAGAATGATCAAGTTAGTATGCGCGTCTAAACAGTTAAATGTTTCTGCCTCGAACAAAATTTATCTATCATGAAAAAAAAAAACAATACATTTAATGCCAATTTGTTGATGATTGCAGGTACGTCTTGTAATAGCGAATAACGACAAACATGCTGTAGAACGAGCCTCGCAAATAGCAATGGAGCACGCTTTTGTATTATGCCATGTGAAAATTAAAGAAGAACAATTAGAAGACGAGCGGATAGAGAAAACCTTTCGCACTGTGAATAAATGGATGCATAAACTTTGGAAAAGTGGCGCAGTAAACAGTCTTGCATGCGTGATATTTGGTGGACTAGAGAACGCTGCAAACGGTACTTGTTTTTTAAGTATCAAGAAAGAAATATCACCGGATGTCGTTCTACGTGCTTAGGAAATTATTATTTGTGATATGTGTGTTGCTAAAACATTTCTCTGACTGAATATCCTATGAAAAAAATTTGTGTTAATAGTGCAAAGAATCCTATTTGTGAATATGTATTAGTTTGAATACAGATGTACAAGAAACTATCATTAACAGGTACTTTTATATTTCTTATTTTGTATTATATTTAGATATTGTAATAAATGAAAAATTAGGAATTACACAGAATATATTTATTTCGCATCTCAACATACCTTGGCTCAGAACATTTTTATTTCAAAATTAAAAAATTCCAAAAAATCATTAAACATTGTGAAATTATAATAATATGAAAAAAATTCATCAGCTTATCATTTCATTGGTAACGTATTTATAGAATCAACAGTTTAAGCGCAGTAATTTGCATACTACAACTTATATTTAAAATATTGTTTGCTTCAAAATTCATGCGTATATGAAGTACTTATAACTAGGTTTGCCAGATCTAATACCAACATTTCCGGGACATATCTGAGGCAATGGTTAAAAAATGGATTATTAATTAAAGTCTCACATTTTGAATTTGTTTATAACCGTTGACCTCACATATAATTTTTTCGACATTTAAATTTTAATTTGTTACTTGTCCATTTCCTTCTATCTGTTCTTACATTTCTCTTGACCTCCTTGTCTTTTTCTTTATATTCTTTTTCCAACTGGAGCATTTTATTTCTTGTTTTACGTGAAATTAGTTTGGCTTTTATTTCTTTTCTCTCTCCTTCTTTCCTCCATGTTTCTGCTGTCATTCAATCTTTCTTTCGTGGATTCTTATAGCCCAGAACCTATTCTGCTGTTTCATTTAGCATATTTTTCACTTCTTCCCAATATTGCTCTACATCCTTATCTTCTATATCTTGAAACCCTTGGTATTGGTTGTGCAGTTAATTTTATCTTTAGCTATTCATGCTTTACAAACAACGTTAAAACAATAATTTTATTTAATGAAGAGCCTTTATAAATCATTTTCTTTTAATGTACAGTAGAAATCATCAAGCGTTGTAGAAACAGCGATTACTGTCTTTCTTTGGTCGGGTAGCTCTTCCGAATCTAAGTCTGGTCGTATAAATTTGGGCCATTGTGATTCATCACTGCGCAACCAACTGGGTCCGTTCCACCACAGTTCCGATTTTTTGAGGACCTCTGGGCATGCTCCACGCGATAGAATATCGGCCGGGTTGTCAGCAGTTCCCTCGATTATCCGAGATAATGTGAGAGGAGCATACCTCGGATAACCGAAATCTCGGATAATACGGAAAATAGATACATACAAAGGCTGTTTTAACTTTTATGTATGTATGTTTTTATGTATTTGAAAACAACTTTATTATTAGATAAAAATATAAAATATAAGAATCAATTGACGAATGCACATTATTCTTTGTTGCAAACATGCGTTATTGGCTTAACAAAGTCAGTAATACGAGA